GACACTTTTTCCAGTGGAAATGTGCATGCTACTTCTTTGATGAGTTTCCCTAGAAAGTGTTAAAGTTTTTCTTTTTATTTCATTTTAGTTTAACTTTACGAGTGAAATTATAATAATAAAGATTTTCACTAAATTTTCCATTTTATTTCACTACCGTTTTAGTATTTTGAATTAAAACTAGTTTTTTACTTTTATTTTTATTCTCATTCTCATTTTATTTTTGCATATTTTTTATTTTTGTTTATTTTTATTATTATTATTTAAATTTAAATTTTTATTTGACAACTAATATAATTTATTTTCAATTATTTTATTTACTTTTTTTTAATAATAGATAATAATTATAATAATAATAATGCAACATGCATATAGAGCTAAAAAGTAATTGTTTGTTTTATTAATTAATTTAATTATTTATTTAATTATTATGTATAAATGGTGTTTTTCTTGTTGCTGTTGTTATTATTTCTTTTTATAATTTCACTTATTCTATTTTTTCTTCTTTTCATGGTTTGCAGGCAAATATCTCTTGAATAAATTTGAATATTATTTTAATTTTTTTTCCTTCTTGCGCGAATTTTTCATTCACTTTTTTCGCTCTTTCTTTTTTTTTTTAGATGAATTTTTATGTATTTTTTTCTTTAGAATTTCTATTTTATATTTATTTTTCTTGTTTGTTTAGATTTAATTTATGAAACTCTGCTAAATGTTTGTTTGTTATTTTTTTAAACAATTTTTTGTTTGAATTTCTAATATTTTTTACGTTTTTACAGTTGTTTTTTCGTTTTAGTTTTGTAAAAAAATCAAAATATTAAAAAAAATATATTTTGAGAGTTTGTAAGAGTCATGTGTTTTTAGCTTTATATAAAAAAACAAGTGTTAAATTTTAAAAATATTATACAGTGTTTTTTAAATTATAGTTTTTTTACATTAAATATTTAAATATTTGCCTCTTCAAAAGAAGGTAATTAAAATAATGTGAAAACTTTTGTAGGTACTGTTATATTAACTAAATAAGAAAGAAATTTAAAAGTTATATAATATAGATTTTCATTTAATATTGAGCTTTTAAGGAAAATTTTCTGGTAAGTCTGTATTTCCAATTTATTTTAATCACCCTCTTTTTGGATTTTTGTTCTCTTTCTAATTGCTTTTCTTGTTATTTTTATTAATTTTAATAATTCTACTTTTATTTCTATAAAAAGAAGCGTTTTGTTGTTTTTGTTTTTTATCATTAAAAAGTGCTTAATTTAAAATTTGCTTTCGTTTAGGTTTTTTTGTTGTTTTGTTTTATATTCCCTAATTGTTTTTATTTTTTGTTTTTAATATATTTAAAAATAATATAATAATAATTATGTAAGTAACAATTAATATTTGCTATATTTATATGCATGTTTTGTTAAAAAATAAAAATTAAATAAATTATAGTTTGTTTATTACTTTTTAAAATTGTTTATACATTTATAAATGAAATTGTTTTTTTATAGTAATATTTATAAAGAATTATTAAATGTTAATTTTAAAAAAATTCTTAAAAACTATTTTAAGTTTAAGATGTTTTCGAAAAACTCTCACTGGCTCTAACTAATTCGTTCCTTCATTCCTTCCGTTATCATTTTTACAAATTATATTTTCACTAATTACTATTCTGCTTAGATTTCGGTTTTTATTTTTCAGTGGCAAATTATAGTATTACGTTTTAGATTTATTTATGTAATTATAGTTTTTTTTTTTTAAATAATAATAATAAATTGTTTTAATCTAAAATATTTTGATTATATTTTTATTGCTAACTTTGTTTCCTTAAGTAAGTAATATTTACTCATTGATTGTATTTATGGCTTAATATTTTATTATTATTTTCTTTTTTCGTTTAATAATAATTTGACAATTTTTTTATTTACATTATTTATTATTTTAGCTTAAGTTTGCCATTTAATATTATTATTATTATTTTATCTACAATATTTATTTTCTTTAAATAAGTAATTTTCTTTATTTACTTTTTGATTTGATTTTTAAACCCATAAAATATTGCTTTTCGTACTTGGCTTTTTTGTTCAAACTTTTGTTGTATTTCTTTTCACTTTTTTTTAATAATTATTGACGGATTTGCTTTTAATAAAAAATTTATACAAGTTCAAATAAAATAAACTGACGAAACTAGTTGTTTTTTATAAATATTGGCAGCTTGTTAAATGGCTTCCTTAAAAAAAAAAAAACTAAATTTCTGAATTATTAGAAAACAAAAACTAAAAATTGAAATATTTATAAATAGGAAAATCAAAAACAATGGCAACAGTTTGTTTTAATTGGTCTATTGTTTTTGTTTTAAATGGTTGGTTTTTTGTGTAGATAATTGCATTTTGAAATATTCATATCAATATTTAGGAATCATATGTTTTCGCTAGAATTGCTAGAAAAACTAAGTTTTTCCATGCAATCATATTGGTCTATTGGTTTGTGTGTGTATGTTTCTGATGATGATGTTGTTGATTTTTTTAAACTTTTTAATTGCCTCGCTACAGTGCAAGCAAAAAGTAATGAGAAATTTATTATATTAAATATACTAAAAAGGTGAGAATACCCAACGCTAAGCAAACTTTATAATTATGTCCATTTAAAGAAATAAATGTATTCTTTTCCATTTCTCAATTATCTTTATTAAGAACAGTTTACTGTTTCTATAGATTTCTATAGATTATTAATACTTGAACATTTTTAAACACCTATCAATCAAAACAAATATTTTGTATATTTACTTTTTGCATGCACTATAGCTGCATTATTCATATAAAATAAACAAAATTCATTTCAACAAGAAAAAAATCAAATAAAATTGTACATAAACGGCTAAATAAAATGTATTATTTTTATAGCCTTTTCTGGGAAACTATTTAAGGAAAAGTATATTAAAAAAAAAAAAAAAAACATTCATTTCATTCCTTCAACTTGCATCTGCAACATATCACATTTCATTATTTTATTGCTTTTCATAGAATTGAATAAAAAAAATCAAGCAAATTACAAACTCATGTTCTCGTGTTGCTCCAGATGGCTTAATTACAAAATAAAAATCATGGACAAATTGTTTATATAAAAATTAATTGGACGTATGTAATCTTCTACTTATTCTCTCCTTCTCTCTCTACCATTCTCTTTTTTTACATTTTACTTGTTAAAACAATTTTTTAATAAAAATTAAAAAAATTCTTAAATATTACTAATAACAATTAAAATAAAATGCTTAAAGAAATAATTAAAACTTAAAACCAGCTTGAAAATAAAATTTTCATTTCAAATATTTACAGAAAAGTTGAGTTAAATATTAAAATAAAACACTATTCCGAAATTCGTTTTAGAAAACATGGAAAAAATAAGCATAATTTTCATATTGAACTAGAACTGAACTAGAAGTGAACCAGAACTGAACTAGAAGTGAACTAGAACTGAACTAGAACCGAACTAGAACTGAACTAGAACTGAACTAGAACTGAACTAGAACTAGAACTGAACTAGAACTGATCTAGAACTAAACTAGAACTAAACTAGAACTAAACTAGAACTGAACTAGAACTGAACCAGAACTGAACTAGAACTGAACTAGAACTGAACTAGAACTGAACTAGAACTGAACTAGAACTGAACTAGAACTGAACTAGAACTGAACTAGAACTGAACCAGAACTGAACTAGATCTGAACTAGAACTGAACTAGAACTGAACTAGAAATGAACTAGAACTGAACTAGAACTGAACTAGAACTGAACTAGAACTGAACTAGAACTGAACTAGAACTGAACTAGAACTGAACTAGAACTGAACTAGAACTGAACTAGAACTGAACTAGAACTGAACTAGAACTGAACTAGAACTGAACTAGAACTGAACTAGAACTGAACTAGAACTGAACTAGAACTGAACTAGAACTGAACTAGAACTGAACTAGAACTGAACTAGAACTGAACTAGAACTGAACTAGAACTGAATTAGAATTGAACTAGAATTGAACTAGAACTGAACTAGAACTGAACTAGAACTGAACTAGAACTGAACTAGAACTGAACTAGAACTGAACTAGAACTGAACTAGAACTGAACTAGAACTGAACTAGAACTGAACTAGAACTGAACTAGAACTGAACTAGAACTGAACTAGAACTGAACTAGAACTGAACTAGAACTGAACTAGAACTGAACTAGAACTGAACTAGAACTGAACTAGAACTGAACTAGAACTGAACTAGAACTGAACTAGAACTGAACTAGAACTGAACTAGAACTGAACTAGAACTGAACTAGAACTGAACTAGAACTGAACTAGAACTGAACTAGAACTGAACTAGAACTGAACTAGAACTGAACTAGAACTGAACTAGAACTGAACTAGAACTGAACTAGAACTGAACTAGAACTGAACTAGAACTGAACTAGAACTGAACTAGAACTGAACTAGAACTGAACTAGAACTGAACTAGAACTGAACTAGAACTGAACTAGAACTGAACTAGAACTGAACTAGAACTGAACTAGAACTGAACTAGAACTGAACTAGAACTGAACTAGAACTGAACTAGAACTGAACTAGAACTAGAACTGAACTAGAACTGAACTAGAACTGAACTAGAACTGAACTAGAACTGAACTAGAACTGAACTAGAACTGAACTAGAACTGAACTAGAACTGAACTAGAACTGAACTAGAACTGAACTAGAACTGAACTAGAACTGAACTAGAACTGAACTAGAACTGAACTAGAACTGAACTGGAACTGAACTAGAACTGAACTAGAACTGAACTAGAACTGAACTAGAACTGAACTAGAACTGAACTAGAACTGAACTAGAACTGAACTAGTACTGAACTAGAACTGAACTAGAACTGAACTAGAATTGAACCAAATCTGAACTAGAAGTTAAGAAAACAAATTTCGAAATAGTACTTCTTTTAAATTTGTTGTTAGTAAATACTATAGTACAAAAAAAGTAAAAATAGGGCGGGTGGGGGTAGTTAGTTTGTTTATTTGTGTGTTATATGAGTATGTATGTGTATTTTCAATTATTTGCAAGTTTTTTTATTTATTTTTTGTTCTAACTTTTTGTTTAAACTTTCATACAATACATAAATGCCATCACCTGAGAAAAGTATAATTTAATATAAAATACTTTAAAAAATGTATCTATTGTATTTTATTGATTTTTTTGTTTTGTATTTTTATATTCGTTTTATATTTTTGCATTGCTTAGTTAGTTATTTTTTCGTTTTTTTTTTTATTGTTTGTTTTTATAATTTAAATTTATTTTATATTTATACACTGTACATTTGAACTGAACGACGAAACATTATACAAAATTGTTTATTTTTTTCTGTTTTTAATATTATTTTTTTGTTTCTATTTAAAGAATCACAGCATTTTTTGTTTTACTTATATTCAAAATTAAGTCTTAAGAGAATAGAAACAAAAATTTTACAAAAAAATAACTTAAATATAAAGGTAAATATTAAAAATAAACAAATCAATAAAAAAAATATGATTTTCTAAAGAAAAATTAAATAGAAATGATACATATTCAACCTTCAACATAAGATTTTGTTAAGTGTAGTATTTACACCCTTTTTAAAATTATAGAAATTTATTTTTTTGTGGCATTTTGTTTAAGCTTAAGGATTAAATATTGAAAAAATCAAGATAAACTAAATTTAAATTAAACATAAACAAAATAAATTTATCATATATAAAGAATCAGACTTAAATTAGTTAGTTTATTATCTAAATATAATTTCAATATATTGTATAAATATATTTTATGTGGGTTTTCTTTATAGAGATTTTATTTATACTTTATTATTTATAAGTTAATTTAATACATACGTACTTATGACGCTGACACTGATGTTGATGATGTTCAAGTATTGTAGTATTTTTTCGATAGAACTGGGCTATTGTTCCTTTGTAATCTCTCGACTGCTGCCTGTGGTAATGTTTGTGCTGCTACCGCTGCCAATTGTTGTAGATTGTGTTACAACTCCTGCTGCAGCTGCTGCTGCACCTGCTGTTATGTTATTAGTATTTTTGCGCAAATGATTGCGTAACATTACCAGATTACGATTCAGTTGTAAGTTGTTGCTCAAACCCGTGCCCGTAGTGGAGGCATTTAATTGGCCACTGGCCGCACTGGCACTTGTAACATGTGGCAGTGTATTGCAGGTATTCTCATCGGTGGCTAGAGATCTTAAATAGTTTGCGGTACTACTGCTGCAGCCAGGTATAACAGCTGAAGCCACCGATGTTGTGGGCGATATGGCGCCACACAAAGTTTCTCCACTACTAGACATAGGCACGCCCAATAGCAGTTCATGGGCGAGTATGGTGGGCAAATGTTAAGTGCTATTTTTCATGGGACCCGAAGACAACGAACTACTACTAACACCCGAATCACTAGACTTCTCACTTAGCCCGCCGCCACGTGTTAAAGTATCGTCGGGTAATAGACCGGTGCCCAAAAGTCCTTTTTTACCCACTCTTCCGGTTAAAGCGGTGTTGGTTTTAAATGGATTATCTTTCATTCTTCGAGCACTCTCGACTCTTTTCATTATTTCACTCGAACATTTTGTTACCACATCATCAAGACTGTTGTTGTCATCGGTGGAGGTTAAGGTTTGTGTGGGTGTTTGAGAGGTGGGCACGGGAGATCCTTCATAACAGCCAGAATCTCGGGGAAAATGTCTTCGTCCGAAGGGTGAAGCTCCATGCTTCTTGTTGATATTGTTTAATCGAGCCTCATCGTTTTCCGAACTCGAACCGGCAATATCAACATCGGAACCGGTTTGTGGGAAGTTAGAAGCTGAAAGGAGAACATTTAGGAAAAGTGTAAGTTTGTATAAAAATATGTGGAAGAGAAAATCTAATTCGCAACGAATAACATTGAAGTAATTCAAGACAAATCTGTGTCTGATAGAATAGAGAGGACAAAAAAGGCTGTTATTGTTCAAGCTCTCTAAAGCTTTTCGTAAACTAATTATCTTTTACTAGGAAGCTTTTTTTAAAAATAGCTCTAATGATTTTTTTACATAAAAAGCTTTAACAAGCTTTTCACATCAAAAACTCTAAAAAGCTTTTCCCATAAAAATATCTAAAAAGCTTTTCACATACAAAACTCTAATAAGCTTTTCACATAAAAATATTAAAAAGCTTTTCACATACAAAACTCTAATAAGCTTTTCACATAAAAATATTTAGAAAGCTTTTCACATAAAAAGCTCTAAACTCTTATGAGCTTTTTCTAGGAAAGAGATTAAAATGCATTCTTACTAAACTAAGAACAAGCTCGCTAACAGAATGCTAATTTTTCCCCTAAATGGCAATACTTTCGGTATTTTAAGATTCACTTTATACTTTTTATTCCTAAAATTACATTTAATTTAAAAACATCTCATTACAACTTAAAGTTCAACAACTTCTCACTACTTCTACTCCTATTATTAAACAATCAACGGCCTGTCTTTAATGATTATTTATTAAAACGTCTCTAATGAACAATGAAATTAATGGAAACTTAAAAAGGAAGAAAAAAAATAAAAGAAATGAAAATCATTTTCGAAAACTTACTGCAATCCATATCATGTAAAAGCTGCACAGCTGTTAACAATTTGGCACGATGGTCTGGATTAACTATACCCAAATAATCTAAATCAGCAGGTTCAAGCTCTTTAAAAAGTTCCAGGTCTTCGTAGCTAAAAATTCAGAGAGAGAAAAAAAAAACACACAAACAAAATGTAACAAAAATAAGATTAATGAATACAAACATTAGCACACTAAAACAACAAAAAAAGGGATGATTTGGATTTTTCTTCCTTCAGCTCTGTTTCCCCAACTCGAATCAATATGAACGAGCATGAGTGGACAGGACATAAGAATTTTACTCTAGAGTGCAAAAAACTCATTAACTTACCCATTTAAAACAAATACGGATGTGTATTCCTTTAAACCAATACGCATTAATAAATCCTCCACAGAATGAGGACCATTATTATGATTGAGATGACGTCCACCCGTTGTATGAGCACCACTCATGCCTTTACCCGTCAAGCCGGCTAAATTTTTACTATGCGAATGTTTTAAACGTTGATCTGGCAGCACTTCAACATTGATAAACTTAAAGTGACCTAAACGGCCATGACAACGACCCTTCCAAATGCCAGAAGCGTTCATTGACAACACGTCGATTATGTCACCTTTCTATAAAGCAACAGCAGCAACAATATAAGAGGATAAAAAAATATAAAGCAAAAAAACGAAAAGTTAGTAAAATAAATAAAGCAAATGATGGTGTATATACGAAATAAAAGGACACAATTTATATGTATATAAAGTACATAGATATATACGATTTTAGCCTCGTAGTTGGAAAATATTTTCGCAACACTTTACTTCCACTCGCACAAACACATTCCTTCAAAAATTTATAATATTTTGTCGATATATTTGCAGGTTTGTATATAAGTTTGTGTAATATTTTCTATAGCATCATTATCAATGAGATGAAAAGAAGTTGAGGAGTATAAAACACTCATACATATAAAAAAACATTTTACGTCTTTAGTACACGGAAAGAACATCCATCATAAAGTCAATGAAGTATGATGATGGTGTCTCAAAGAAGGCAAAAAAAAAATAGAAAAATAAAATAAAAAAATATCCGTTTAAGTAGGATTTTCATAAGATGTATTATGTTCTAGTATGTATAAATTTGTATGCATGTAGGTTTATTGCAAAGTACAGTAAAAGCTCATAAATATAATAGTATTTGAGGCTTAAAGGTATTTTATTCTTAAATTGAAGCTTTACTGCAGACCATTTTGTTGGTCAGTGTGTGAAAATATTAGGGGGAAGTAAATTTAAGATTTAAGAAATATAATGAAGCCACTAACAGGGATTGTAAGTGTGTGTCAAATTACAGCTTTCTAGGTCCAGTCTTTTGTACACTACTGTGTCCGTCTATCTGATTTTCACAGGATAGACGATAGAACTTTAGATAGTGGGAAATTATTACTTGCTGACGTCAGAAATATGTACGTAATGAAAAGCTTTTATCAGCCTACTAGATTTGGGACTGAAAAGTAAGATGGTCAATGATTCACATCAGATAAATACCACGTTTCTAGTTCAGTCGTTTAGACCCTAGTATGTCCGTCTTTCAGCACTATAACAATTAAGTTGTTAACCGGAAACACAGACGGACAGACAGGTAAAATCTTTATTTCAAATAAAGATATATATTTGTATTTACAAATACATATAAATATATATAACTTTCGTCACTACAGGGGGGGGGGGTGCGAGAGGAAGAGCTTTTACACCGGTTTAGATTCAGCCAAAAAAGAATGCTGGAAGCTTTCAGAAGTTAATTTGAAAACAAAACTCAACTTTTTAGTTATCTTAAATTAAGCTTTCACAAAGCTTAAAATGAGTAGCCAAGTGATTACTTTCGCAGCTCTAAAACTGAATATTATTGTTTGAATTTAACAAAAAAGCTTTCTCAAAAGCTCTCTCATACAAACATACATTTTAATAAATGCTTTAATACTTGAATCGCGATAACAATTTGAGACAAACAAAATTTTAAAGCTTTAAACACTGTTTCGATTAAATCAAACAAATCAAAATTTCATCTAAAAGCTTTTACTGTATAAAAAACTCTTTATGTCTGCTTTACTGAAATAATATTAAAGTTGTTGCCATTTTTTAACTCTCAACTAGTACATATTTTTAGTCTAGTCTTACAAGAAAAACTATTTTTTATATACTTCCACTACTTTGTCCTTTTATTTAAATATATTTATATCTATCTACAGTTTAAGGAGCAATTGTGTTTGTGTGTATGCAAGATTTTGTCGTTTGATTTTTGATACTCACCTTAAATTTAAGTGCATCCTTATCATAAGGATTTGCCATACTGTCGACAAGTGCTTTTGCTTTACATATTGATGGTGCTAACGAGGTACGATCATCTGTGGATATGGAACTTTGTGGACTGCCTGGACGTACTAAAGCTTGAGTGCCTGTGTTTGACAAACAAAACAAAACAGAAAAGAATGTTTAATATAAAAAGTTTTGTTAAAGAAAAACAATTTTAAATATTTTTAATTAATTTTTTATAAATTTTTTTTTTTTTTACTGTAAAAGTTAAGTTTGGTGGAAAATAAATGTTCATCAATTTTTCAAAGTTAAATCAACATACTCATAGTTGAGGGTATATAAAAAGGGAAAGAAAATTTTTTTTTTTTGCTTTGTCGCAAAATTTCAAGTGTGTTGTATATTTCGGTCTTCTTTTTTTGAAGTTGCTTTAGTTGTTTTAGTGGATTATTCAAAGAAAATACTTGAAGAAATAAAGTTTTTTGTTCATTAATAGAGTTTCTAGTTTTCGCTTAAAACATACAAAGGAATGAAAGCACATTAAATTCCTAACTTTCCATCCCTCTCTTGGGAATACACACGTAGCAATTCTACCAACACTCACTAAACGTAAAATTACCCCAAAAAAATGTAGAGAAAATGAATACTGTTGAAAGTCTAGATAGTTGTGCATTAGTAAACTCACACTCATAGAAATATTTTAAGTACGTTTATGTATATGCATAGAACATGTTTCTATTGCTTTTTAATGTCTTTATGTTTGTTTGTATATTTAAGAGTGGGAGTTTGCTAGTGAATGGGTGAGTTTTTTGTATGCATGCACGAAGGCTTAAAACATTCCGGAAGCATATTAAAAATTCATTAAGTTTTCAAAAATTTCCACAGTTTTAACCAAAAAACCACTTAAACCCAACTACCAAAAAAATACACACACACAACTAAAATAAGCAACAAGAGAACATTGTATATAAACAACAAAATAATGGCAACATCAACTGAATTGAAACAACAACAACAAAATAACAAGGCAAATTTAGCCCAACCCAAGCACTCACTACTCCTCATATATGCTTTTATGATGCAGCTTTCCAAACATCTATTACAATTGTTAATAGACCCAATATGTTTGTTGAAAGAAGGAGCAAGAGTATGTTGTTTGTCTAAAGTTAAAACTATATGTTTATGTATAAAGTACTTGCTACAACAAAAACTACTTATACTTACTTGAACCGGAAGCACTGGGTAAACTTTCGACCGAACTTGCTGAACAAGCAAAGGCTTGATCACTCATACTTCCTCGATCTGTATTATCTTGAGAATTGCTAAAATCCCTTGAAGTATCCTTTGTGGCAACAAAGTTTCGCACGCCATTCTCATTAAATGTGCCAATTTCCTTTGGTGAGTTTCGCATTTCGTTAGTCTGAGGTTACAGCAAATACCAACAACAGCATCATCAACGACAGCCCATATTGAAGCAACAGCAACAGGAACATGAAGTTTAAGCAAATAGTCGTAGTTGTAGTAAAAGTATCATGGCATAAGCAAGGATTGCACAAGTCAAAGTTTTTCAAAATTGTGATGTGGATTTTAAAGTTGTTTTATTAAAAGTTTTTCATTTCCCCCAAACACACGCATACAAATACACACATTTTTACAGCAACATTGATTCAGTCATCCAGCCCCATAAATATATATATTCCAACCATTCCATCCAAACCAACAGTCAACCATCCATCCATCCGTTCATGTTTAAGGCGACCCAGACAAAGTTGACGTACACAGTCAATTATTGTACAAATGAAAGTTTATGTGAGTGAGACCAAGGGCGCATAAAGATTATTCGCAAAAAATAGCAAGAAAGAAAAGTAAAAGAGAATATAGAAAAAAAAAATAATTTTTTTATATTAGTTTTGGTTGATTGTTTTTATACTTTTGTTTTTGTTCGTTATTTTATGTTTTTTTATATTTAAATCATCATTAGAAAGTTCAAAAACCAATATACGCATCGTTGGTTAATCTAAACAAACAAACAATAATTAATAATAAATGGTTTTAAACTTTATATTTTGCTTTTTTCATGGATCCTAAGGGTTAAAAGGGAGCTTTAAATGTTTTGCAAATATTGAAGGTTTCATGGGGAAAATTTTTATTCGACAGGAAATACCGAGATTATTTTTAAGAAAAATAAAAATTGAAAAGTTTAAAATGTTTAGCAGTAAAGTAAATAATTAATAAATTTTTAAACAAATATGTACTTGAAATATGATTTGATTAAGATTTGTTTTTATTTACAAAAGTTTTAAGAGAAATTAGATGTTAAAGAAAATGTATTGAACAGAGTTCCGGGTTAGTTAAAAATTATTCGTCTTATTTAGAAACAATTTGTAAGACAATTGTAGAGAAGAAAATTTAAATCTTAGAGAATTTGCTTCACTGCGAAAAGAACAAACATTTTGTTAATGTTGATTGTTTCAAAACCATTTTCATATTGCGTATTGATTTCTAAAATTTTTGTATAATTTTATTTAAAAATCTTCCCACTTACATGATGTACCGTAGCCTTTTGGCTCATAGTATTTGATTTTGTCGCCACAGCTCCATTCTTTTTAGCCTTGGCCGCCAGACTGGGTGGTAATGCACGTGTAGCTCCAATATCTTCATAATCCGAAGAAGGACTGGGTGACAAAGAGGGTGATTCTCCAATGCCTCCACTTAGAGTACGATAACGTGCCGTGCAATTATTGGTAGCAATCTGAGGAGAGAGAAGAGAGAAAATAACATTAAATTTCCATTAAAATATTAAAATTCGTGCATGAAAATGTGGGCTTGGTGGGAGAGTTAAACGTGATATTTGAACATAATCAGCAAATTTGTTAAACTAATGTTTTCTCACATAGTATTTGGTTCAACCACATTAATGTTAGTTTTAAAATATATTCTTGTACTCGGTTCTTGAACAATGTATATTTTTAAGAACAACAAAAAAAAAACTTAATAAAATTATACCAAATACAACCAACGACAAACTAAAAGCCGTCTACGGGAGTAAATCTATTCTAACCTTACAAAAATTGCACACGAGTGTAAAGAGTACACGCAAAATAACTAGTCCAAAACTAATCTAGTACATGGTTCTGTGTAATGCAGGCTGTGACCATGTTATTTTAGCAAAATAATGAAAATGATCCATGACGGGCTAGTCTATTGACAAGTCTGTGTCTAATCTATTGATCAGTCTTTTGTGGAATATTTTATTGTCTACTGACTAGTCAATGGTCTTTTGAGTGAACCTACTTCGGTATTTTCTGTCATCCAAAAGTACCATAATAATAAATTATCCACCCCTGTTATATTGTTCTGTTATTAAAAACGTCAAGGCTTTAAGAAAACCCTGACTGTTTTATTCTACGCTTAAAACTAAACGAAAATTTATTTAATCCTTAACTATTTTCTAGTCACCAACTCTATACCTGTACCACAGTATTATTTCATTTGAGGGTTAGAGAATTTAAACAATTTGCTTTCAACAAATGGCTACAATCACAACATTCAACTCTCAAGCAAATCGAAACAAAACAATTGAACAAAAGAAAGCAAAATGGCGAACTTGTGTCTGTATAGAGTAAATGTTGAACGTGTATGTAGCGGGTTTAGATCCCAGCAACTTTAAATGTCAATGTACCCTTTTAGTTTGTATTTATCGCAAATGTATTTGTTAATTTGAGTGGCCTAATAATCTAGGGAGGAGTCACTGAAAACTTTAAAAAAAGGAACTTTATTCAAAACTTTACAAAAAACAATCCGTAGCAGTAACAAGTTTTTCTGAGTAATTAAAGTAAAATCTGTAAATAATGTTTGAAGGATTAACCAGAATACAGCACCCCCGAACTGCAGGGCTAGAACACACAATATTTTCTTTAAGTCCTGTTATTCATGCCACTAGACCGTCGTTGCTGAGTAGAAAAGAAAATATTGCTGCAATAACAAAACTTTGTTTGCTCAACTGCACTTTATCAATTTGGTGCAAATGTATATTTGTATATGTGAGTATGCTTATATGTATATGAAAGCATGTGTTTGTGTGTATATTTAACAGTTCTCATCTCAACCGTGTGATGAAAATGATGGTCGGTCGTTCATTCATTCATTTCTTTCAGTTTTTTTGGGTAAATTGTTAAGCTTTACAGTAAAGTGTTTTGTTTGGGCATTAAGAGGCAAACCCGTGCACAATAACAACAAATGCGGACTTTTCAGATTATTTGCACTTGGCGGCATTACTATATAAAGCCTGACAAATATTGGTAGCAGCAACATTAACACTTCAATTTAAAACTAATTCACAAATAAATTGTCATCATTATTTTTGGTTTTAGAAAAGAAAGTTTTTGCGAACAACAACAAAGAGAAAAAGTGTAGACGAAAAAACATAATTTTTTTTTTTTATCACAGGTGTTTAATAATGATTGGGGAGCACTGTTGCCAATTTTTAATCATATTTTGCGGGGAAAAATATGATTTAGATATTAGCGGGAAATCTAGCGATTTTTCTTTAGATTTTAAGGCATTTTTTATTCATTTATATTTTGATAATATCGCTTAAAAGTTGCTACGAATGACGATATTTACATATATGTATGTGTATAATAATAATCTTGGGTGCCCCGGTAGGCTAGTTGGTAGTGTGCTAGCCTGTCAGTCTGGGGGTTGTGGGTTCGATTCCCAGCAGAGATCCTGGTCTGCTACACTACAACGGTCGTATGGTTATCGTCACCCTGCTCGGTAAATTAGGTTAGAATATAATTTGTAATTGTATTGTAATGGAAAAATAAATAATACTCTTATGCCGAAAATAAAGAATCGATCCATAAAGGCCAGCATTTCGAAATTAAATTTATCTTTACAACATTTCTAAAGCAATCTGTATAGGGTCGCATATCGAAATTAACGTCAACTTGACATTTTTCTTAACCCAAAGTGAAAATATTTAACATAAAAAAAGATTCTCTTATGTGTTTGTTATAAGATGTGTTTGTATCACTATCTCATTCCTACGTATGTATATAGATTTTAGCGATAAATCGCTGACTTTTTAGAATAATATAAAAAATCTGAAAAATTTAGCTAGCTTTTTTAGCTATTTCTTTTCAGAATCATATAATAAATATTATTTTGACGATTTATCGCTAAATTTTTCAAAATTTCTTGAATTTAGCTATTTTCTAGCTATTTTTCAGTCGACTTTAGCTATATTTTTGAGAAAAAAGTTGGCAACAGTGTTGGGGAGCAACAGAAAAAGTTTGTTGGTGAACAGCGCTGCCAATATTTTTTTCATTATTTTCAGTTAAATCATGTCACAAAAAAAGATTTTTCCGCTAGAAAACGTCTCATACTAACTATAAAGTAGACAATAGACTTGACTTTATACTGTAGACTAGACTATAGACTAGACTATAGACTAGACTATAGACTAGACTATAGACTAGACTATAGACTAGACTATAGACTAGACTATAGACTAGACTATAGACTAGACTATAGACTAGACTATAGACTAGACTATAGACTAGACTATAGACTAGACTATAGACTAGACTATAGACTAGACTATAGACTAGACTATAGACTAGACTATAGACTAGACTATAGACTAGACTATAGACTAGACTATAGACTAGACTATAGACTAGACTATAGACTAGATTATAGACTAGACTATAGACTAGACTATAGACTAGACTATAGACTAGATTATAGACTAGACTATAGACTAGACTATAGACTAGACTATAGACTAGACTATAGACTAGACTATAGACTAGACTATAGACTAGACTATAGACTAGACTATAGACTAGACTATAGACTAGACTATAGACTAGACTATAGACTAGACTATAGACTAGACTATAGACTAGACTATAGACTAGACTATAGACTAGACTATAGACTAGACTATAGACTAGACTATAGACTAGACTTTTCCTTTTGCTCCATTCCACTATTTAATCAACGTTTCCTTTAAAATGTTTTTTAAAATTAATTAAACAAATATCAATTACTTACCGATACTGTACTAAGGCGGGATGTAACACTTTGTAAATCTGATATAGAGCCAGCATAATCACCACTTTCTCTGTCATGGGATCTAAAAATAACAAAAAGAAAAAAAGGAAACATTATACCAAAGGATAAGTAAAATTAAATAATTTCTTAATATAATAATAAATTGTTTTTCATTTAATATTGTATAAAATTTGCTGAACACAAATATGCCAACAAAAAATCCCTAAAATAATTTCAGCAGCAACAACAACAAAATTTACCACTTAAGTATCTTAACAATGACAATCATTTGACTTTCTTTAAATTGCTGTCAGTTTAGCAAATAAAATAAATGTCACTGGCAGAAACACGTACACATAATACACACACACACTCACACAAAAAGGACCCTTTCTTTATATTTATTTTCTTTTTAACTCGAAATGCTTAAAAACTAAATAAAACAACCATATTTTACTTTTACCAACTGCCAGCAATTGGGCTAAGAAATACATCTTGTCTAATTCATCATATAATCATTTGTATTCTTGTAACACTCTTATAATTTTGACCAAGTGACATGGCAACAACAATAAACTAACAGACCAAAAATAGATTTCTTTATGGAGAAAAAAGAAAAATAACAGTAGATAACTTAGAAACAGGCTCTAGGAGTAATAAAGAGAGGTTAAGGAAAAAGGTTAAGGTATCAAAGGATTAAGCAGGTTTCAATAATCCGTATAAATTACCTTAGAAGTAGAAATCTACAAAATACCAGTCAGCCAAATAAGTCAAATACATAAAAATACAAAAATACCCATGCTAACAGATAAAGCTAAACAGCAGACAGACGAACAGTCAGGCAAACAAATAAATAACCCAGTCCGTCATCAGCCACAGTAAATTGTAGTATAATAATAAAAATCCTTACAATATTTAGATGTTTGTAGGTGTATGTGTTTTTGTATCTAGTAGTTATTGTTTGTTATCTTTAACAAACAGAAAAATTTCTTATTTGAAGAAGTTTGTACAATTTGAAGTGTTGGGTTTTTTTGCAGTTTCAAGTGTTTTCTGGCTTTTCTTTTAAATCCTTATTTTATTTTCCATTTTCTTTACTGTTGGTCAATAATAACATCAACAGCCAACAGACTACATTTACAAGACACAATCTATGGAATGAAAAACCAAAGTAACCCGCAAAAAACTAACAACAATAATAATCAAAACCATTCAAAGTCATCAATTTCGAATTGAGAACATTCGGACATGCAGCACAACACAATTACATACTGTTACTTACACAAGTGAGGTTGGTCGGTCAGTTGGTCTTTCATTTATACTCAGGCCCTTCTATTAATACCTACATTTGTTGAAATCTATCTAAAACACACATTCATATCTAAATACATTTGTATAATTTTTTTTTTGCAACATCAACCGATTTGTATCTTCTGGCAAACATTGTGTTTTTAAAAAGAAAATATAAGTTTAGAAACTTCCAAATTGTTTTTGTAGAGAGAAAGAGTGTAGAGTAAATTTGTGCTAATGAGTATTGGTTTGTAAGGTATGTACTCCTGTAAATATGCTGTAAGTATTGTGTGAAATCTGCTGAGCCTTTAATATGATTTAGTTAAAGTGACCAAATTGGTTGTTTATCTAAGTAAAACATTTGCATAATAAAATTTTTCTTCAGTTGTATTTACGATACCATCAGTGGCCAAAGTGCTATTGTGGGGACTCTACAGAACGTGTACTTGATGTAATACATGTATCTTCTGATATAGCCACATAGCTTTTCCCTCTCTCTAATTAGTTAGGTTTTTCTCAATCATGGCTTTACTAAGGGGGCTTTTGATATCTATATGGGGCCACTGTAGAAGGCTGGTATCTAATTACTTTATTACCTAATCTAACCAAGTCTGCAGAAAAATAACTTAATACATATTTGCTGCAGATTATCTTCAAAGAGTACTTCAAGAAAGTTTCCAAAATTGCTTATATTTCCAATATCCATTCCAAATGCTTCCATTGTTTTGCTTTAACAGTCAAGGTCCAAAAACAGCCTATCATTTCATTTATATGAAATCAAAATCAAAGTTGATACAAAAACCTTCAACATTTATCAAGTATGTGTTAAACTATTACTAAAACATACATGACTGACCTTTTGCCTCCCTTATTTACTTGATCCCTTGATCTTTTAAATGAAGCTCTTAAATATTTCTGCTCTTAAACAAAGAAAAACTGTTGCTTTAATACAGCAAAACAATTCAACATTTTGTGGTTGTCGTTTTTAATAAAACTTTATTTACTTTATATATAAAACAAATATAATAAAAATACGTATTTTTTCTCTCTGTGGTCACCCTTTTGTCAGTTACAGCCCCGTCTTTACAGCAAAAATCTAACACCAGCAACAACAATTGTTCAAAAAGTAACCATAGACTATATAACAAAAAAAGAAAGAAAAATAAATATGTATTTGTGTACTATAAACGTATATATTTAAACATTTATATTTATATTAGTGTTTATAAAAAACCGACTTTTGGAAAAACCGGTTTTTCGGTTAACCGAAAATTGACCATTTCTAGAAAACCGGTTTGTCGGTTAACCGAGTATAAAAAAACCGGTTAAACCGGTTAACCGAAATGTTTGGAAATCTTTAAAATATTATAATATTTAGTTGAAAAAGTCATTATTATGAATTACTTAATAAGATATTTGCACTTTTTAGTATAGATATGCACATTAATATATCATAAGAAAACAAACTTATATAGATCTGAAGATATTATTGATTCGTTAGGTATATGGAAGTTGCCATAGGAGGGATAAATTGACCTTTGAATATATAATCCATCTATATCAATAGCAAAAATTATGTCCAGAACTATCAAGGCTCGCGACGATTTATCGGGAACGGAAGTAGACGACGACTGTCTCGACATAGACAGTGACCTCCCTTCGCTCGCTACGCCTGTGGTTGTTCAAATTACTGTGAATGACTCTTAGGAATATTGACAGGTGTCATTCTGACTTCCTGTCAATCAACCTAAGCGCCATTACAGTTTGTGAAAAACCCCAGCAGCATAAGTTCTCGGACGGCAACAACAATCCTTATGTTTCGATAAATAAAGTCCGTTTTGAGAACGTTTGTGAAACTTCTCGATTTTTATTATACTCACGCAGTAAACAAGTAAGTGCATCCTGAATTTTACCATCAATGTTATTTATCCGTCTTAATAAATAACAAATTTCTTCATATAATGGTTGGAATTTGTTTAAATAGTTAATTTTTTATTGGTTTAAATGCCAACTTTTTACTAATTTCCTGATTATCTGAAATTGTAAATCTCCATTTTATATACATAACATTTGTTTAACAATCTTAGGTCTGTTTTCATATGCACAAACGGAAATAATGTTTAGAATTATCTATCCAAAATGTTTAAAAACCACAATAAAAAATCAGAGAAAACATACAATTTTGTACCAAAAATTTGTTTTTTTTTGGAACCGGTTAACCGAGACTTAAAACCCGGATAACCCGGTTAACCGAAAACCAATGTTTTAAAAAAACCGGTTTGCGAAAAACCGAAATATGCAATAAAAACCGGTTTTTCGGTTATCCGGTTAACCGGTTTATAAACCCTAATTTATATACATATACTCACAAACATTTTTACATTCACATAGATACAGTTACAGTTATAACAATAAAAATTGTATCAATATTTAACGTAATCAACCACATGTGTGTTGTATGTAGAAACGTTTTTTCTTTTTAAAAATGTATGGGTGTTTTCAAAGTGGTTAAAGTAGAGAAATATATTATACATATGCATGTATGTATGTATGTATGTATGTATTAGTAAGGATCAAAAATAATACGACTTTTTAATATTTTAAATTATTGTTGTCTCCGTTTTTACTAAACATTTAATCAAAGGATTAAATGTCCACTAAGGTCCTTACTACTTGTTATTGTGAAATCAGAAAAATTTTAAAAGTATCCTAGAACTATAACGAACTTCAAATGTTATCAACTTTTAATGCCAGAATAACTACTTCTACTACTTAAATACGAATTTTTTTGTGATTCCTCCTAATATATAGAAACATGTATTGGTTTAAGTTTTGTGTATGTGTTTAAATATGTTTAAGTCTATATTTGATTGTTTCACTTTGGGGTTTTGTTCAGTTTTTTCCGTAATTCAGCACGTATTTACGCATACAGTCTTACACATTTACTAATATATTCTAACGATGATAATCTAAAAATTCATTTGAAATTTAAACTTAAAAGGTAGCTGTAGATTTTGTTTCAATTGCTTGAGATAAATTGCCGTCATAATTCTTGCTTGATGGGACACAACAATGGGAAAAGTTTTTAAAAGTATTTCTTGATGGGGCCTTAAAAGTTGGCCATACTTTCCATTATAATGTTTGGGCATATATATGCAAACATTTTTGTTTTAGTTCTGTAGATCCTTCCTTGGAGAACATATAATGGTTTCCTTAGGACGTACAAGCATATTTAGATCGTTCTACCGACATGTTTTAATCATCTTGGCATCTAGTAAGGAACCACAGTAGACCTACATTATAGTATTATGGGTCCACAACCAATATTTCAGTGGATTACAAATGGAATGACTAAATCAATATAATCTCATCTTTCCTGACGATGGATATGAAAATAATCGATTCCTTATAGAAATAAAAATGCGAATTAATTCTTAGAGAGTTGCTCATCTGTAGATGAGTTTATCACTAACAACAACAGACTATAATTGATCAAAACTATTTTTTTCTCATTTAGTTTTAAAGTGATTTATCAAACTGACTTCCTATATTTACAAAATTAAAGTAATACGTATCTAAAAAATTTCCGTCAGATACACGTACACATTTGAATGAATGAACACAAAATATAGAAATGGACACACACAACAAAACACCTTTTTTGCTGTTGTTGTTGCTGCTTCATCTACTAAAGACGTAACAGCAACAAAAACAATAATAAAAAAGGATATGAGTTTTAAATACACATACACAAACGTGCAAAAAAAATATAACTAAGCTTTTATTTATATAAATACAATAAGACAGGGTCAGGGGTTTGTCGAAGGGAAGGGAGAAAAAAAGCTAACCAAGCATTTGCTATATACATATAAAAAATGAAAAACTAACACAACTTTAATATAAAAAATCAGACAAAACAAAAAAGAATCAAACAACGAACCTGCAAAAACTTTTATTTAAAATTTCACACACACAACAAACCATTCAAAAGATTAATTAATTTGGGCAACAAAAAACCTAAAAACGTACAATAAATACCAAATAAAATTAAAATGAAAAAATATAACAAAACTAAAAAAGAACTATTTATTGTATTGTATTGCTTTTTGCCGGCAAGTGTTGAACATGTAAGAGTGAGTCAGAGTCTGTGTTTGTTTTAAGGATTAGTTTTTTGAATTTAATTTTCTTATGGTAATTTGATGTTTTGAATTGTTGTATCTTTAATTTACACAAAATTAAACACAACCAAGTACTAATCACACTAATTCTTACTTAATGCCAAATACAAATAGAAAAACTATCAAATTAAAGTTTATATTTATTAAATGAAAAACCTAACAACAATTGAAACAAACCAAAAAGGAAAAAAAGATATCTCTTTAAATAAAAGGTAATAAATCTTAAGCTGTTAAAGTTGAACTTTTTTCCTATTTTTTTCTCTGTAGTGATTTAAATGAAATTGGGTAAGATTATACAGATTGCTGGTATTACCAAGGTCAGCTACAGGTTGCCAAAGATTACGAACTATACATACATTTAAACAAACAAACGCCCACATTTACTTAACAACACATACACACACTCAACTTTTTAACATGTATGTAAGTTTAAATAAATGTCTATTATTTGCTATAAGGATGATTTTGCTCTTAAAACACAAGAGTGTTAAAATTTATGGTCTAAAGTTAAGGGTTGAAAACCCTTAAACAAAAAAACGCTATGAAACTACTTGTATGTTTAGAGGTTTTCTTTTAACAAAAAGGGCTTTCAACCACATTAAGTGCCCAAATTTAATATTACGAGTGGTATGTTTGTTATAAATCTTCTTTGATCATTATGCTACATTTTTTCGGGGTATTTCTTGCTGGTTTAAATTACAGTTTAAGTTTTGTTGCCTTTTTTTGCAATATTCTTGTGTTCGTATGGTTTGTGTGTGTGTAATGGGTAAAGTGGAAATAAAAAGACACACACGGAAACGGAAATTATAGGACACACTTGTTAGTTTTAAATTGAATGTGTGTCCATCATAAAGCAAAAATTGGGATTAAAATATTTATTTTTTTTTTATTTAAATTAAATCAAATCAAATCAAATCGTTTTAAAAATTTACACAGCTGTTATAAAATAAAACCTTAAAGCAGGCAACAAAATATAAACGATTAACTAAAAAATATAGCCTTTTTAAAGTACTTTCAACATTTTCGTATTTGCTATTGTATATTGAATAGTCTATGATTTTTACTATTGACTTTACTATGGACTAGTCTACTGAGTAGTCTTTGAACTAAATTCTGAACCATGGACTATATTCGTGACTATTGCCTGAACTACCACCTGTATTATAATATAAATTATCAACTAGATTTTAATCTCTGGACTATAGTATGGACTATCGTCGGTATAATTCTCTGCACAATAGTCTGACATATAGTTTGGCCTACAGTCTGAATTATAGACTTATAGGCCAATAGTCTGAACTATGTCTGGACTACAGACCATAGGCTAGATTATAGTCGGAACTATCATATGAACTGTTATAATTATCAGTATAATAGACTGACCTATAATATAGACTTATATAGTATCATACGAATTATAATCTGGATTATAGTCTAGGAACTCACCTTGCATGGGTTAAAGGAATTATTGTCGGTGGATTTGGTGGTTGTTGAGGTACGATAAGACCTCTTCTCGGTGGTCCTCGATGTGGTAGCGATATATCTCCGGCAGATCTTAATGAAATGACACCAGTACTATCACGATTTGAGGTGAAACGTACACGGCCGCCCTGTAAAAGAAAATGAAATAATTTTAATAAAAATAAATAATTTAAATAAACAATTTTATATTTTTAACAAATAAATTTGTATAAAAAATAAATTTATAGTATCAATAGCATTTTAGTTAACCTAACAAAAGTGTTCTTAAAAAAAACTAAAGCATTCAATTGGAAAATATAAAACAAATTTCTTTTTATTTTTCTTTTTCTCTGTTTAAAAATTTTAAATATTTTTTTTTAGTTTCTTTTTGTATTAAAATTAAATGGTGCAACAACACAGAACATATTTTTATGAAATGTGTCAAATTAGATGGATGAATTCACAAAGAATTCTCAACAACATATTTGAAATATCTTTTTAAAGAAAAATATTTTTTTTTTAATAAAAGTCAACCAAGCTGCCAAACTAATACGCAAACATTTTTGGTCTCAATAAATTTAATCTGTAGTTTAAGGCACCATTAGAGGACTAGATACTTAAATAGCAAAAAAGAGTTCACCGTGATATTCCTTAGCATGTTTCTGAAAAACTGTAACAGATTTCTTTGGGAAATGTTTTTTTAAATGAAGGAAAAAAAGAAATTTTGAAAGGAAATTTTATAAGTTTATAAAATTTTCGAATTTCTCTAACATCTGGCAACTCCAATTAAAATATTAACCAAACTATACATATTTTTTATACAAATACACACACATTTATATTTCTTTATTTTTTATTTTGTTAGATTTAAAGACCTTTCAATGTATGAATAGTATATCATGACAATCCAACCTGACATATGAAATATGATAGAAAAGAAAAACTTTCTTTTCAACACATATTACTCTCTCCCTCTCACTTTTTCAAACTATTTATTTTTTTGTATTCTGTTGCTTGTTTTTTAACGTTTATAAATTTTGAAAGAATAAAATTGTGCAAAACATTTATATTGAAAAAAATGTTGCCAGAAAAGAAACAAAAACTACAACGAAATATTTTATTAAAGAAAAGTAAAAAAAATAAATTCTTTTACTAGTACTATTTTTTTTACCAAACAAGAGACTTTGTAGCCAAAAAAGAAAAATATACTAAATATTACTATGTATGAATTTGTGTTGCATACATTCAAACTATTACATATACAAGTATTATTTTATTACATATGTAATGCTTAGATGATCTGACAACATTTGTTAAGAAAACTTTTCGTTATATGTATTTTTTTTTTTTCGTTTCTCTTAAAATGTTGTAGAATTTTATTTAGCAAAAGAAGATTTGTAGGGGACGGATTTTTGTTTTTTATGTAGCTTGTCAAAAAATATGTATTCATTTATGTAGAGTTGTTTAAAAATGTTGCTGTTGTAGGTTTATTAGAAGGGTTACAAGCCAAAAGTTGCAAACATTTCAGTACTACAGCTATGAGGTTCAATACTGAATCAAAGGAATTTGATTTTCAAATACAAATTTCTGCCAAAAAGAGGCACACGTTTTCGAGAATGTAGTGAAAATCGTTATTATCTCAGTGAAATTTTACTTTATCATCGAAAATACCCCCGGGGCATTGAACTTCCCCCATCTTGATAGTGCCATCAGTACCTCTAGTCTGCCGGGACAATAAACTGGTGGTGTCAAATGTATCATCGGCCATCCCTTGAGATAATTTGAACTGTGGGTGGAACTAGATGGATATATAATCTGGCCCACCGGGCAATATTATCCCTGTTATTGGAGAGACTAGACTATAGACTAGACTATAGACTAGACTATAGACTAGACTATAGACTATAGACTAGACTATAGACTAGACTACAGACTAGACTATAGACTAGACTATAGACTAGACTATAGACTAGACTATAGACTAGACTATAGACTAGACTATAGACTAGACTATAGACTAGACTATAGACTAGACTATAGACTGGACTATAGACTGGACTATAGACTAGACTATAGACTAGACTATAGACTAGACTATAGACTAGACTATAGACTAGACTATAGACTAGACTATAGACTAGACTATAGACTAGACTATAGACTAGACTATAGACTAGACTATAGACTAGACTATAGACTAGACTATAGACTAGACTATAGACTAGACTATAGACTAGACTATAGACTAGACTATAGACTAGACTATAGACTAGACTATAGACTAGACTATAGACTAGACTATAGACTAGACTATAGACTAGACTATAGACTAGACTATAGACTAGACTATAGACTAGACTATAGACTAGACTATAGACTAGACTATAGACTAGACTATAGACTAGACTATAGACTAGACTATAGACTAGACTATAGACTAGACTATAGACTAGACTATAGACTAGACTATAGACTAGACTATAGACTAGACTATAGACTAGACTATAGACTAGACTATAGACTAGACTATAGACTAGACTATAGACTAGACTATAGACTAGACTATAGACTAGACTATAGACTAGACTATAGACTAGACTATAGACTAGACTATAGACTAGACTATAGACTAGACTATAGACTAGACTATAGACTAGACTATAGACTAGACTATAGACTAGACTATAGACTAGACTATAGACTAGACTATAGACTAGACTATAGACTAGACTAGACTAGACTAGACTATAGACTAGACTATAGACTAGACTATAGACTAGACTATAGACTAGACTATAGACTAGACTATAGACTAGACTATAGACTAGACTATAGACTAGACTATAGACTAGACTATAGACTAGACTATAGACTAGACTATAGACTAGACTATAGACTAGACTATAGACTAGACTATAGACTAGACTATAGACTAGACTATAGACTAGACTATAGACTAGACTATAGACTAGACTATAGACTAGACTATAGACTAGACTATAGACTAGACTATAGACTAGACTATAGACTAGACTATAGACTAGACTATAGACTAGACTAGACTATAGACTAGACTATAGACTAGACTATAGACTAGACTATAGACTAGACTATAGACTAGACTATAGACTAGACTATAGACTAGACTATAGACTAGACTATAGACTAGACTATAGACTAGACTATAGACTAGACTATAGACTACTAGACTATAGACAAGACTATAGATGAGACTATAGAAAAGACTATAGATGAGACTATAGAAAAGACTACAGACAAGACTATAGAAAAGACTATAGATTGGACTATAGATTAGACTATAGGCTGGACTATAAACTAGACTATAGACGAGATTACAGGAGACTATAGACGAGCGTTAAAAATAAGTTGGTGTCAAATGTATATGATACGGGTTCGATGTAGGACTATGCGAGCCTCATCCATCCGTATACAATAAATATGTCGGAGTGTGATGGGTGAAGGTGTCTTCAGAGTTTACTATGTTCATAACTGACTTCTAGTAGTGTATTCTCTCTGAGTAATAACTTTGGCTTATTTGATGGATACGTATTTCGATCTACCGATTATGTCTCCAGGTGCTATATCCGAATCAACAGAGAACAAGCCCTCTGCGTGGTTGTAAATGGAAGTATGTATTGTTTTTGCATTTCGGAAGTTAAGCAAAGGAGCAGCAATGGTCAGAGATTCGATAGCTTAAGTATTGGGGCAAAGTCCTTGTACGAAATCAAAATTTCATAAAAAAATCGATATTTCAGTAACAATTTAAAATTCCATCAAAAAATCGTTATTTCATAGAAAAATCGATATTTCATCACAAAATTTGTATTTCATTGTAAAAATCTACATTTCCCAGAAAAATAATTATTTAATAAAAAAATCGATATTTCACCGGAAATTCGAAAATTCATCGAATAATCGTTATTTAATTATACACTAAAAATTGATTTTTTATTACAAATTTTATAAAAAATTCACATTTCACCGAAAGAAAAATAAAAATTGTAGTTTCACTAAAACTACTTAAAATGTCTCCTCCTAATGTTCATATATGAGCTTCAGTCTATATTGTGGGAACTTTATTTGTCAAGTAAGGAGAAAAAAATATAGAAATATTTAGAACGCAAAATAAAAACTGTATATAGTTCAATTGCTTTTATTTGGTAAATTACATTGTATATGTATGTGAAAGCGAGTGTAAATTTGTCAGAATTCGAAACGAGAGTTAAGTTATTTTGGCATTTTAGAAAAATAGTTGAAGAAAAAAATTTGGCACAAACTTATAATGTTTGTTTTTAAAAGAAAAATGTTGTAGTTTTAAGCATTTAAGATGTTGAAGTTGAAATATTCCATAGAGTTTTATATGGTTTAATACTTTAAAAATATTGTTTACATGCAATAAATATTCAATTTGTCATATTAAATAAAAACACTATAAAAATATCATTTTTATTTTTCTCCTTACCTGTATTGTTGCTGCTGGACCACAATTAATACCCGCCATGAGAAAATCATCGGGATCACTTTCATATGGTGGCTCATCGTACCAGTGTCCTTGCGGGTGAATGCCACTAACAGCATAATGGGGACCACGTAATGCATCATCATACATATAAGTGTCATCTAGAACATACAACATATAAAACAAATAATAAAAATTAATAAAACCAAAAACAAAAATGAGAAAACAGTATTAAATCAAATAATAAAATATCGAGTGAGAAAGAGAAAATATGCATTTAATGTTTTGCAGCATAAAAATGCAATATAAAACATATGACAAATGCAATAAATTTCATAAAATAATAGCAATAATAATAATACTATTTAATAGAAAAAACATGAAAAAACTATAAAAATAATAAAATAAATGTTATTCATTGCATGTACAATGGGAAATGAAAATGTAGATGGTTATATAAAAACTTACCAATTTTACCCTCTCTGCTCATTTGCAATAAGCCCTGTCGTATGTCACGCAGGATCTGTAATAAAAAAACAAGAAATGGAAATTAAATTAAAATTTAACTAAAAAAAACTGTGCTGTGCTGTGAAATTGCCATGAAATGGGGTAAATAAATATGCATAGAGAAAAAACAAAAACAGTTTTCAATGGGAAAACCACAAAAATACCAAAGAATGTTTGGAAATGCAGTTTTTTGTTGCAAAACGAGAATAAAAATGTTGGTTTTAATATTTTCAAATGCAGTGACACACACTAAACTCCTTTAATAAAAAGGCAAATATGAAATTAGAATTTTGTTTTTATAATTAAATAGAAATTTACAAAAAAAAAAAACAACCAATAATAATAAAAATTTAATATTTTGTGTACGCTGTTACATTTTAAAGTTGTAAATTTACTAGAGTTAGTAAGATTGTAGTTAACTGCTATTTGTTTAAGTCTGTTAGTTGTTTGCTAATTTTACAAGTAGTATGAGAGAGTAATAGAAATCAATGGTATACAAGCATAATAAAATAATAAAATTGATGTTGAATTTATTGCTTCTTTAACTTTGTGTTGTTGTATGTGTATGTTGCATAGAAAAATTTTCTTTTTTTTTACGATTTGTTTCCTCCTTCCACTATGTATTACGCTTTCTTTGACTATGAAATTTACTGCATCTACACTATTACAACAACAGAGAGAAATGAATTGCACAATGGGGAAATTAAAGTAAGCAATAATACGTGGTAGTGGACTAGAATTAAACTAGAACTGATCTAGAACTGAACTATAACTGAACTAGAACTGAACTAGAACTGAACTAGAACTGAACTAGAACTGAACTAGAACTGAACTAGAACTGAACTAGAACTGAACTAGAACTGAACTAGAACTGAACTAGAACTGAACTAGAACTGAACTAGAACTGAACTAGAACTGAACTAGAACTGAACTAGAACTGAACTAGAACTGAACTAGAACTGAACTAGAACTGAACTATAACTGAACTATAACTGAACTAGAACTGAACTAGAACTGAACTAGAACTGAACTAGAACTGAACTAGAACTGAACTAGAACTGAACTAGAACTGAACTAGAACTGAACTAGAACTGAACTAGAACTGAACTAGAACTGAACTAGAACTGAACTAGAACTGAACTAGAACTGAACTAGAACTGAACTAGAACTGAACTAGAACTGAACTAGAACTGAACTAGAACTGAACTAGAACTGAACTAGAACTGAACTAGAACTGAACTAGAACTGAACTAGAACTGAACTAAAACTGACCTAACACTATATGTATTAGAACTGAACAATTTTTTAAACACATCTTTTTCTAAAATACTTAAATCGAAATCTCGCCTTTTAATCTATCAGATTTCACCATCTGACAGCATTAACCTTGAAGAGTGTAGCATTTAAAAACAAACTCTGTGGCATAACCCATAGTGCACTCTATTAGTAATGTTTTCGCTTGTTCTGTAAGCAACTAATATGACTACTTTGAGAAATCAGCACGCTTTTGCATTGAAAGATTTTTATTTGCTATTTCTACATTTTCTTCCACTTCTCTTATTAGCCAACTCCAACAACAAATAGCAACAACAACGTCATCATATCAGCAAAGACTTCAACGTAACGAACCAGTAAGTAAAGCGAAAAAAAAGAAAAAACCAACAATTGCAACAACAACAACAAATTTTACAACTACTGCACTCCACTACAACTACAGTGGCAATCTTTTTAGATAAAAATTAGCTAAAAGCTTTCTCACGTGCTACATGCAGCAGCAGGGTATTAAACGTCTATAAAATAAAATGGAGAAAAAAATAGAGGCAAATGTAAAAAACACTCTTACACACAAAAATTGCTGCCAAAGGAGTGCAATTTAAATGCAAGTCATTACATTCAAATGTTCGACGACTACTACCACTACAACTACCATGAATACAAACGGGAACGTTCAGCATTTACCAACAACTTTACTAATGTTACTACAACTACGACTTCGTTTACATTGTGTTTTTTTAACTACTGCAGCAATTGCAGCTACTAAAAGATTCTTGGTAAAAATACTAAAAAAGAAACCGTAAGAGTAAAGAAGGGAACGGTGGGTGTTGCACACAACCTGCAATCATTATTATTTGTTGCAAGTGTTTAATAGTATGAGTAAGAGTTGAATAAGTGTTTGTGTGCCTGAGTGTTTGGTAGTGAATTAAATTTTTAATGTTTTAAATTGACTTTTTGCAGTAAATATAAAATTCATTATAATAGTAGTTGCTGCAAATGTTGTTGTACTCATTGTGGTTGTAGTATTTGAAGTTGTTGCTTTAATATTATTTTTTTCTTTTTTCATTGTACAACCATTGTTGTTTTTGTAGTATTTGTTCCATATGCATTTTGGTTGCATAAAACATTGAGGGATTTTTTATATATTTTATTTTTCATTTCCATTTCCTTTTTTATTTTCGTTGTTCTTAATTTAAAGATTTTTTGACGGTTTTTTTATTATTTGCTTTTTTGTGTGCTTTATGTATAAAATTGTATAAAAACAACAAATAAACCAACAGAAAAACAAAAATAACTTTGAGCCCTTGCACTTTTTTCACTGTGCACAAGTAGTAGTAGTGAGGAGCTTTACTTTTTTCTATTTGACTTGGTTCGAGGACAATCACCTTTAGTAATAGTGATGACAACTCTTGGCAAGGGAATCAAAGATTTTTTTGATGTTGATTTTTTGTGAAAAAGGAGGTAGTTTTAATAAATTAAAAGTTAAAATTATAAGAAACAGCTTTGAAATGTTTTGTCATTTGAGAGAAATTATAAAAGTAATTTAATTTAAAATTTAGTTTTTGTTATTGAGTTAACAAGGCTAATCTCCTGAACTGAACTAGAACTCAACTAGAAATGAACTAGAACTGAACTAGAACTGAACTAGAACTGAACTAGAACTGAACTAGAACTGAACTAGAACTGAACTAGACTGAACTAGAACTGAACTAGAACTGAACTAGAACTGAACTAGAACTGAACTAGAACTGAACTAGAACTGAACTAGAACTGACTAGAACTGAACTAGAACTGAACTAGAACTGAACTAGAACTGAACTAGAACTGAACTAGAACTGAACTAGAACTGAACTAGAACTGAACTAGAAGAACTAGAACTGAACTAGAACTGAACTAGAACTGAACTAGAACTGAACTAGAACTGACTAGAACTGAACTAGAACTGAACTAGAACTGAACTAGAACTGAACTAGAACTGAACTAGAACTGAACTAGAACTGAAACTAGAACTGAACTAGAACTGAACTAGAACTGAACTAGAACTGAACTAGAACTGAACTAGAACTGAACTAGAACTGAACTAGAACTGAACTAGAACTGAACTAGAACTAGAACTGAACTAGAACTGAACTAGAACTGAACTAGAACTGAACTAGAACTGAACTAGAACTGAACTAGAACTGAACTAGAACTGAACTAGAACTGAACTAGAACTGAACTAGAACTGAACTAGAACTGAACTAGAACTGAACTAGAACTGAACTAGAACTGAACTAGAACTGAACTAGAACTGAACTAGAACTGAACTAGAACTGAACTAGAACTGAACTAGAACTGAACTAGAACTGAACTAGAACTGAACTAGAACTGAACTAGAACTGAACTAGAACTGAACTAGAACTGAACTAGAACTGAACTAGAACTGAACTAGAACTGAACTAGAACTGAACTAGAACTGAACTAGAACTGAACTAGAACTGAACTAGAACTGAACTAGAACTGAACTAGAACTGAACTAGAACTGAACTAGAACTGAACTAGAACTGAACTAGAACTGAACTAGAACTGAACTAGAACTGAACTAGAACTGAACTAGAACTAACTAGAACTGAACTAGAACTGAACTAGAACTGAACTGAACTAGAACTAGAACTGAACTAGTACTAAATTAGAACTAGAACTGAACTGAGCTTTACTTCAAAGACAAGGCCATTCACCGATTATTCATAACAGATTCTCAAATAATCATTATTTACACAACACTATCAGCCCCTGAAATCCACCGCTTTTTGCATAATTACCACAACAATTTTTGTGTAAATAAAGAGAGGAAACGGAGTAAAAATATACACACATACACTAAATAAGAAAAGAAGGCATAAGACTACAGAAGAAGAAACTTTAACTGCATACACTCACATTGTCAGTAACGGTACAATGGAACCAGCTTATAAACATAACATATACACAAACATGTTGGTAAGCTTGTCTATGTTTGAACACACATGCAGAGAGTTAAGTTCACAATAAAAGTCAGTCAGAATTGAAGTTGGGACTGAAGTTACTTGCAGTCACTGAGTGGAGTATGTGTATTTTGTTTTTTCCCATTCATTCGTTATTTTCTTTATTTTTTGTAATTGTAATTTTTATTCTTGTTAGTAGATAAATAATGTATAAGCACAGTGTAACAACTGCAAATTTTTAATTGCATTGAAAGTAATTTGTTTAAGTAATTCACACCAGGAATCTAGTTGTTATTTGAAGTAAACAATTAAGGAAACAAAAAGCTGAAAGAGAAATATATATAGGGTGTCTTTTAAAATTATTATAGTTACCGATTTTTAAATTGTTAAAGACTTTTTATTTTATGCAGCTAATATTTATCAGATGACATGGCATTTACTAAAAGGTATAAAACAACTTTAAAACAAAACTTTATATATGATAATTTTTGCATAAGAGTTATTAGTTTCATTCTATACAACTTATAAAAACTGATAAATAAAAAAGAGGGGAGTCATAGTACTTATATTTATAATTTGTTGCCACAACAATTAACCCCTAAAATATCTTGAAAACAATCGGGGCACTGTACTTTAAAATCGTAAACTGACAGTGTATATTTCTGAGTATATATGTTTGTTTCCTTTTATTCTAGTTAACTTGTGTTCTTTTGCCAAACAATAAGAAGTGTCTTCTATTTATTCATCTTCTTTTATATATGTAAAGATATTCTATATTTGTTTGTTTAATTTCTTTTTATAATTTTTGCTCTATTTTTTGTCACAATGTCTCCTATCTCTAACAATAGAGTTGAAGTTTTTTCAAAAATAGTACAAAAAAAAAAACAGTTAAAAAAATAAAACCAACGACGAAAAACAAACAAAACACATATCAAATAAAAACCTCCCATACAACTAGGAAAAAGAAGAAAACTGTAACATTGCAAACAATAAAATAATAATGCATATACATAAGTAATTACACACACATACATACTCTTAGACATACACCTATTCCACTATAACACGTTTTTTAATATCTCGTTGTAATCGAGAAATTCGATTAATACGATTTATATTATTATACGAAGACACTGATTTAGGAAAAAAAAAATTGGATAATGAATATTTTGGGAATTTTAATCCACAAAGAAATTAATTTGTAGATCCCTCTTTGAATCTTTTTCGTTGTACACGATTTTCCGTATACCAATTTTGGAATTCAATTTTCACCATATTTTTCTGGAACGTATTTACCGTGTAAAACGAGGGATATATTGTTGTATAGGTGTATTTGCTTATTCATTTATGGAAACAGAACAATTGTAAAATGTTGATGTTGTTGATGGGTATGAGTCAGAAAAATTGTTAAGTTGCCAAAGACATTTTTTTTAAATGTGCACATTAAAAAAATGGAATATGTAAAATTTAAACTAAAGGGTGTTTGCTTTAAAAAGACATAAATAGAAATTACCCACAATTCATTCTTCATGTTAAAATCAGAAAATGAACTAGAACTGAACTAGAACTGAAATAGAACTGAACTAGAACTGAACTAGAACTGAACTAGAACTGAACTAGAACTGAACTAGAACTGAACTAGAACTGAACTAGAACTGAACTAGAACTGAACTAGAACTGAACTAGAACTGAACTAGAACTGAACTAGAACTGAACTAGAACTGAACTAGAACTGAACTAGAACTGAACTAGAACTGAACTAGAACTGAACTAGAACTGAACTAGAACTGAACTGGTTCTAGTTCAGGAACTGATCTTAAACTTCGATTATGTATAACTAAATTCATATGCCAAAACAATTTATTTAGTCAAATTCATATAACATGTTTCTAAATGACTTAAAAAACACCCATTTATACATACATCTATATAATATACAACTATAATACAGTAAAAAAACAACAATACTATGTATAAACAAGAAGACAACAAAATATAAATAAAACAACAAATAAATTATAAAGCACATGGTTATTGTAATTGCATACACAAACAAAAAAATAAATGTAAACAATCAGAGAATTAGACAAAAGTGTAGAAAAAAATAAAAAATTTGCCTGCATGTAGAATACATACTTATGTGAGTAAATGAGCAGAGTGTTTAAGTGTGCAGTTAATGTGGGAGTATATTGTCATTGTTTTATTTATATGTAAGTGTGAGAGAAAATGAATGAATCCTTGGTTATTTGTTTGTATGTTTGTTGGTCTAAAGTATGAATGACAAAAATTGTATGCAATAAATTATAAAATACATATAACATGATGTATGATAGAGATAAACTTTCTCGCAAATATTGTCAAATTAACACACTTACATAAACTATATAAATATAAAAGGAATATGAATTTAAACTAGTAGAATGTTATAAGCTTTAAAACCAACAAATAAGCTTAAAACAGTTATAAACTGTTTTGTTGCAAGCAATAAGAGCAACTTCCCACACACAAACTCCACCACTTAGTTGCTTCTATAATTTAAATAAATGTATTAAATAATGGGTCTTTGTTAACGCATATGAGTGTATGTGTTTATATTGTGAAATATGTATTAAATAAAATTTTCTTTATAAACAAGAAAAGAAAAAAGATTTTTCAATCTCAACACTTCATAATGGACTGTGGCCAACCAAACAATCAACCCAACCAAACAACCCGGCCAATATCAATAACAATGTTGTTTGTCTGCCTGTCATACAGTTGTTTTCATAAATTATAAACTTCTTTATTTTTTTTTTGTTCTTTTGTAGCTACAAGATAAATTAGTTTTAATTCACTCATTTCTCTTTTCATTTCATTTATTGTGCTTACAATTTATGACAATTTTTTTTTTGTTCAACAAAAAGAAATTAAAGCAACAGACATTAATAAATTATAAAGAAAATACCAAGTCATACACTAGTGCGTATACTTTATTTATGTTTTGTTCGACAACAATTAAAATAATATTCATCATACGCTCTGTGTGAGTCTTGTAATTTATTATTTGTTGATTAATTTTAAATTTTCCCTATGAGTTTGTGTAATAAATATTAAATATTTGTTAAAGATTTAATATTAATGGCATATTATATTTTGAAATTAATTAACTAAAAATAAGTAATATGTGCATATGAACATATGTATGTATATTTGTTGAAATTTTATGTAAATAAGGGATGATTATTGATTTACATTGTTGACCTTATTTTGTGATATATTTAGAGAGTAAATACAATTTAAATTAGAAAACGGATTAAGAATAAAGATATGAATTGATTTTATTTTAGTCAACTAGCTTAATCATATTTAACAGTATTAAATAATTGAGGGAAGTAATAAAATCATGAGCGAACGCATTAACTATTATAATCAAATAACTAAAGCTTTTTCGAAGCCATCGCACAAATATTTTAACTTCTCTGAAAACGCTTCAAAACGCATAATTGTTTCTATTAAGAAGTAATTATACAAAAATATTAAAGCATTTAACTAAATGGCAAAATGACATTTAAGTAATATACACATTTGCAAAACACAGCACCAGATGGTGTTCACTAGTGTTATTATCAATTTGCATACATTTAATTGAATATATAGTTTTTATATAATTATTCAACTATTATGCAAACTATTTACGTTCTTAGTTTTAAAATAAATACTTTTTACTTTATTTTCCTCTTTAACTTGCAGATAGATGTACATATGTATATGCAACTACATATGACTTAAACACTACAGTCACATAACACACTTACGGTACGTATACTTAATTTGAATTAAATATTATTTATTCCTCATGCGTACGTAGCAAGCACATACATACACGCATTCACGGTAATAAGTTGAAGTTGAAATTGTTAAACAAAAAATTAAAGAAAAGAGATATGTTCAATATATGTTATACTAAGTATGTTCCCATGCTGCAAATAAAGTTTCATTTTAATGCATAAAATTCCACAGGAACAAAAACAACATCGAAAGCAGCAGCAGCAACATCGACAGCAATACAATACATACTTATAAAACTAAATTATGCATTAATATCTTCATTATAAAACACACGCACACACACATACTTTCTTAAACATAAAAACACATGGCACAAAACACTCACTCACTCCAATGTATTTAATGGAAAAATCCAACATACATATGGGTGTCTACGTACTACACATACCCATGCACTTCTATGCATATGTGTGTATTTGATTTTTCATATGTCTATTTTCTTTACTATGTATTAGTGTGTGTTTCCGTTTCTATACTTATACGTACATAAATATGAATTTAAAATAAAAGTCGACTTAATGTGTCTTTTTTGTTTTTCCAAGTCTCTTACCTCTTCATGTTCCCTTTGAAATTTTTCCTTTTTACGCATTGCTTCTTGTACTTTTAACTGTAAATATAATTTTGAGAATAGAGAAAAAAACAAACAAAAAAAAAGAGTGAGTATGTTTAAGAGCATGGGAAATATAAGTATAATAATAAGTAATGATAACATTTTTTAAGGAAGAAATAACAAAAATTCAATTATAAATACTTATGACACTCGCATATACTTCTGAGCATAAGAGGCAGACTTTTAAAGGAATGTGTATAATTTCTATCAGAACTAGAACTGAACTAGAACTGAACTAGCTGACTAGAACTGAACTAGAACTGAACTAGAACTGACTAGAACTGAACTAGAACTGAACTAGAACTGAACTAGAACTGAACTAGAACTGAACTAGAACTGAACTAGAACTGAACTAGAACTGAACTAGAACTGAACTAGAACTGAACTAGAACTGAACTAGAACTGAACTAGAACTGAACTAGAACTGAACTAGAACTGAACTAACTGAACTAGAACTGAACTAGAACTGAACTAGAACTGAACTAGAACTGAACTAGAACTGAACTAGAACTGAACTAGAACTGAACTAGAACTGAACTAGAACTGAACTAGAACTGAACTAGAACTGAACTAGAACTGAACTAGAACTGAACTAGAACTGAACTAGAACTGAACTAGAACTGAAACTAGAACTGAACTAGAACTGAACTAGAACTGAACAAACTGAACTAGAGAACTGAACTAGAACTGAACTAGAACTGAACTAGAAAACTGAACTAGAACTGAACTAGAACTGAACTAGAACTGAACTAGAACTGAACTAGACTGAACTAGAACTGAACTAGAACTGACTAGCACTGAACTAGAACTGAACAGAACTAGAACTGAAACAAGAACTAGAACGACTAGAGAACTAAACTGACTAGAACTGAACTAGACTGACTAAAACTGAACTAGAACTGAACAAGAACTGAACTAAACTGACTAGAACTGAACTAGAACTGAAGTAAACTGAACTAGAACTGAACAGAACTGAACTAGAACTGACTAAACTGAACAGAACTGAACTAGAAACTGAACTAGAAACTGAACTAATAACTGAACTAAGACTCAACTAGAACTGAAACAAAAAGTTTTTGTTTACTGTTCTCAGTCTTTCAAAGCTCTGCGGAAATTTACATAGTCTGCTAATGTTTAGTTATAAATTTCTATTAAAATTAATGTTGCAAAATAAAAAGGAAATATAAAAAGGAAAGTATACAAAAATTTTAAAATCACTTGAGTACCATTATGACACCCGCACACAAAACTGAAATTTATACTTAATTAAAATAAACTTTTTCCTAACGAAACAAAAAAAAATAAAACCGAAGAAAATTCAAAATTTAAATAGCAACACAAAATATGCAAGACACATTCTTCCAAGTGTTATTTTTACGCTAAAATGCATGGCCAAACCTAAAGTAGTTTTTTTTTAGCAATTTTTAATGTTTGTAAGTCTTACAATATTTGTGGTGGGGAAAAAAAGATGACGATAGTTGAGCAAAACGCTTAAGACTTTTTCATTTTTATTTGTTTGTGTATGGTAAGGTTTGTTTTTAGGTTAATTTGTAATACAGATGCTGTTATTGTAGCTGTTGCTAGTTGCTGTTGCAACAACAAGATGAAGACAACGATGACGATGATGATATGCAAGAAAAGTAGTCAGAAAGTAGTGTAAGTATACTTATAGTTTGGTTATTGCATTTAAATGATAAGGCATTTTCAAACAAACAACAAAAACTATACTCAAGTTATAACGTAGCAGCAACAGCTACAACGACACAAGTGTAAAACAATTTACCAAGTGCGGTGTATACAAATACAAAACAACTCAGACACTTGTACTCGAACATGCAACAAGAAGACACAAACAAAACAGAAAACTAAACTAAAACACATGAAAAGAAAAGCAGGACGAGTAAAGAGATTGAAACACTACAAATTACACCCACACAGCGTGACACACACCTATAACATATACATCCTTAAAAATACAGAAAGACAGACGATGAGACAGGAAACTATTCTAAATATAAACATGGGTATATGCTAACAAACACTTGCAAGCATATAGTGGAAAAACAGGGCAATTTAAGTACAGGGATATATACAACGACATGAACCACACACACACATATTATTAGAGATATATACTCAAAATCATAATAACTTCAAACAAACCCATAAAAAATACTAACACTAAAACTAAACAAAGTAGGGAGTAGAAAAAATAGAACCTAAAAGAAACTAAAACACGACAAAAAAAATTTCTCGTAAAAAACACTTTTAAAATTGGGAACAACAAGAAAAGTGTCAAAAACTTTTAGCAAACATTTACATACAAGACGTGCAACATCACGAGCCAGTACAAAAAAAAGCTAAACAAGAAATAATAAAAAATATATGAGGAGTAAAAAAAAAACAAAAAAAGGCATGAAGCAGCTATAGCAGCATCATCAAGTAATAGCGGCAGATGTGACAAAAACATACCAAATTGCAACATACAATCAACTTTATAAAATATACCGGGACATGCAGTATTTAAAAGGCAAAAGAAATTATCTTTTTTTATTTTCAGTTTTAAACAAACATGGAAAATAACCTACTATGAAGTGACTTGTGTGTATGTCAAGCTGGATACAAAAAAAAAGTTCAGCAGGACAGTTAGACAGACTATTGGACTTATGGATTAAAGGCAACTAAAACGTCTAAGAAGAGAAAATAACCATATTTTTTGGAAGCGACTACCTTAGTACAATGGCAAGAACTTTTATTTTGTAATTGTAATACCTCAAATGCAACTCGAGTATACTACACTTTATAATGTCAAGTCAATAGCTCACACAAATTACCTTTAAGTCCAGGTAATTAGATCATAATTACCATTTTATGGACTACAGTTACTATTAAGTAGTCTATGGAAGGCTCTATTTACATGTCTATGGTCTACTGATTATCTTATGGACTAGCAGATAGACCAGTTTTTTGAATAGTTTGTTGACCAGTCTATTGAATAATCTATGAACGAGTCCATTAACATGTCTATGGATAGATCTATTTTCAAGCCTATGAACTAGTCTATGATCAAGTTTATGAACTAGTCTATGACCAAGTCTATTGGCTAGCCAATGAACAAGTCTATGGACTAGTCTTTGAAAGATGTATGGACGAACTTATTGACTAGTCAGTGGACTAAAATATTTTTCTGTTTTTGCACTTTGGACTATTTCGTTGATAATTTATGAAAAATCTATGTAATATGTATGTACCGTGGGGGCATTTTTGTCCCATTGTGCACATGTACATACAATCGAGAACAATTGCCTCTCAACATACAAAACTTCAACAACAAAAAACTATCAACATGGAAAATGTGTCTTCACGACATATAAAAACAAATATACCAACGACTTTAAAGGAATGTACAGGCATGATTTGACACAAACATGTCAACAACAATGATACAGATTGCAACATAACAGCAACATATAACATCACACAAATTTGAAGCAGATATAAAGACAAAAAGCAAACTAAAAATGTCATAGTTGATTGCAATTGTTAAAACACCTAAAAATATGTTACAGTTTAAACAGAACAGAAGTCTTAAAGGAACACTTAAATAATTTTTCCAAAATTTTCTTTAAAAATATTAAACAATTATGATTGTTGTCAAAAATAATTTATTAAAATTTAAGAAAACAACTTTTTTACTTGCTGTCCATTTTTATTTTTATTAAAGTCAAAAGTTCAAAAAAATATTAAACGATTTTAAAATTAAAAAAAAAAAAAATGTTTTATAATAAATAAAACAGAAACTTTTTTCTCAACGACAACAACAATAGAAAATAATTTAATTCCATCACCTGTGTTTAAAAGTTTTATATTTTCCTTTAAAAAAACCTACTTCTAGCCATAAACAACAAACAAACCCCATCAAACAACCACATGAAACAAAAATATATTTAAAAGAAAAGTACTTTTTTCAACTTTGGAATTAAAAATATATATATTAAAACAACTTCAATATAAAAAGACAAAAAAGTGTAGAAAGAAATTAAAAAAAATAAAAAGCATTTAACCAAGACACATATAATATAAAAAAAAAATCTTCAAGTCCGCCACATTTCAACTTCCCACTCTGCTTTAAAAACATTGCTAAAAAAAGAGGCAAAAATTTGTATCATGTCTTTGCTGTAGGTCGACGACTACAACAAGAAATATACAATTTTTGAAGTTTAAGAAAAAAAAAAACGAAAACTTTTTTTCTTCTCTTGTTAAACACACAGAGTAAAGCAAGTGACATTGCAACAATCTAAAACACACATAGACAGACAAAAAACACACACTGCTATAAACATATAAACATTTTGTCTCAAAAAGCATACATGTACATACATGTTGTAGACACAAACAGGCAAAACAAACAAGAAAAACAAAATACTTACACAAGTAATGTAAAGGAGCTATAGCCCCCTTCTTCTACACTAACAAGAAAATATTTACATTAAATTTGCCAAACAACAGCAACAACAACAGCAGTAACAAAAAAGAAGATGCTACTTTTTATTTATACATGATGATGTTGCACAAGGCCTCTCCCTGACTGTTTAGTCTTAAAAGGAATGACGATTTTTTTGCTGTTGTTTTTGTCATTTTCCTAATAATGTGTTGTCTTGAGGGCGAGGGTAGAGTTTTTCATAGAGAGGACTTTGCTGGCATTGCATCTTGTACAAGTGGCGACAAAGTGCCCATAGCTTAACAATTTAAGCAGATTTTTTAAGGTTTCTTATTTCTTATTCGTTTCTAGGTTTTTCTACTTTTCACTCAAGCTTAAGTTAAATATGATTCTTGTATAGTAATAAAGAAGACCAACTGGAATCGGAATCTCTAGCTTAAAATTATTACCTATATTGTCATTTTATTTAAGTATTTTCATTTACTTTTTAATCATCTAACTGTGCTTGGAGTATTTCAATCATATTTCTTACCCGAATTTCCTTAATACAACGTGTTAAAAACTTTTATATTTCTTTGCTACTTTTCGATTAAAAGTTTTCGTTTTTCTTTTACTATTTCACTCGAGAATTCTTTAAAGAACTTGCAAAACAATATCATCTCAAATTAGTTGGTCTTATTTTCAATAATACTTTTTGCTTAACTAAAATTCCCCCAACATGTGTAGAGAAAAGTTAACGTACATATGCATGAAGAAGAATATTATTATATCTTTGAGAGTCTACTTTTAGGAGCCCCAACGAAATTTGTGCACTACAAAATAAAGTATATGACAACACACACTTATACAAAAATTTACTAAATTGCTGTTGTGTAAGTTTAAATGCACACATACGCTATGGAGTTGTTGTTTTTGTTGTTTTCTAACATAACGGTGTAAGTTTAATGATTTCCCTGTTTAAAAAAAAACAAGAGAGATAATGATAGAAAAGGGAATACTAAGAGAACACAAACTACTAAAACTACTCAGAGATGGAAAATTCAGCGTTAGAAACTAGCCAAGGGATCAATTTATTGACTTGGTTAGTCACTAGACTAACCAATTGTCTAGTACATAAAATAATATGTTGGTCAATAGATTAGTCCATAAAATAGTCCTTAGTCTATTCTATAAAATAGGTCATAGACTAGTCCATAGATTGGTCAATGGACCAGTCAGTAAACTTGTCTGTAGAACATTCAGTAGACCATTCAATATATTAGTCTAAAGACGAACGTAGCTTAGTCCAGTAGACTAGTCAATATATTAGTCCAGTAAACTAGACTAGACTAGGCCGTAGCCTAATCTACAGACTAGACCATAGCCTAGTTTCAGACTAGTCCGTAGCCTAGTCTACAGACTAGACTGTAGTCTAGTCTATACAATAAACTACAGACTAACACATAGACTAGTGAATATATTAGTCAATAGACCAGTCAGAAAATATGTCTTATCCATACCCTAGTCCAAAGACCAAGCAATAATCCAGTCAATACACTAGTCTATCGGCTGAACCATAGAATTGTCCTTAGATCAGTCAATAGAATAGCTTGTAGACTTGTCAATGGGCTAGACAAAAGATCATTCCTGAGTTCTATAAACTCCTTGTTCTTTTTTCAAAACTTCAATACCCCATCCCTGAAAACTACTGCTGCTGCTACTAACAATTTGCCTTAAACATTCTGTTGTTGTTGCCAGTGGTGTTGTTGTTGGGGTTTTTGTTGCTTAATACAAGGTGTAGGTTGTTGTCTTTGCTGTTGTTCATATTATAAACAAAAACAGCAAAAACATCAAAAACTTAGCTTGCAGTAAATATTATGATGCTGCAAAAGTTGTTGCTACTGTCTCTTAGAGAGAAAGACACTCACACACAGTTCCAATAATATTCAAGGTGTCACCATATTACTGGGTGCTGTAGGATCTTCTCAATTTATTTTATTTATTTTTTTTTCTTTTCGTCATTTTTAAAAGTAGTTAATGTTGTAGTTGTTGTTTCTAAGTGTGTATTGATGTTTGTTGTATGTATGTTTATCTATGTATGTATATTTTTTGTTGTCTTTTTTCACCGTATTTTTTAATTCAACTTAGTGAGGCGTTATGTTGTCATTAATAATGAATGTTATACTGACGGCAATGAACTTTTAAATGTTTTTCTTGTTGGTTGTTTTTCTTCTCTTTCATTCATTTTGTTGTTTTTCCTTTAATATTCTTTTGTTTCTTATGTATGTGTGTGAATTATATAACGTTGCTACAATTGTTGGGGGAATATAAAAACATTCACATATACATATGTATTTGGTAAATTGCATGTGAAGAAAATTGTAGTTTTACACTAAAGTTCATATGTGTATATTAAATATGAATATGACAACAATGTTACAAATAACATTTTTATTAAAATCATTGGATTCCAAATGAACAGACAACACTTTGCAAAAATAATGGGGGAAAAAAACAAAGGTATAGAATATAATCAAATTGTAATGCATATGAAATTATCTTGTATAATGAATATATAAATTTCAAGAAATATTATTGAAAATTAATTTTTAATTCCCTTCACAATTTTGAGAGATATAGGGAAAACCATAAGTAATTGCATTTTTATGTGTGTATATTGTATACGATTTGATTAATGTTGACAGGTTTTTAAAACTTATGAGGTTTTGTAAGAAAAAATATTTTTGCATTAACTCAGTCTAATACATACATACATTAAATTTTTAAAAATATACAGTAATAAAATTTGATTTTTAAAGTATTTTTTTTTTTTAACAAAAAAACAAATAAATTGATATTAACATTTTTACAAGAAATTAGATTGAATTTTAATAATATTCCCAAAAATGTTGACAGCAACATGTTGCTATAAATTAATCAATTTTAAAAGCTTATTAAGAAAGCACTAGTTGTCAACGCATATTTGTAATTAGAATATTGCAAGCAACATGATTCAGTAACATATAACTGCAACCTGTTTCAGCAACATATTTCGGTAACTGTTACAGCTACATGTTTAAGCAACACTGCAACATGTTGTCTATAAGTTTTCTTTTGTTATTTTTGCAATTTATAATTTTTTTAAGATTGATATTTCTTAATTTTCCAAAATATATTCAGGTACTTATAGTAAAATAATATTTTTTCCATTATAAACATTATGCTGTTTCCTGCAACATGTTGCAAAGCCCTTAATAACCAAAACGAGCTCATGCAAAACCAATTTCTCATAGCAATTAAACCAGTCTATAAAATTAAATGTCTTACTGCTTGTTTCCTCTCCGTTAGCATTTTAAGTTTAAAAACTTAAACAATTTCATTTATTTAGCTTCAGGTTATCAAATTTATTTCTTTATGAAAACTTTTTTTCTCCCATTTTTTTTTCTAACATTCAACTAATGACATTTCATTTCTTTTTATTCTAATTATATAAGAAGAACATGGATTTTTTTATGTCAATATCAAGAAATGAGCGAAAGTCCTTTAGATTTCCGGTGCGAATGAGTGTGTGTATGTCTGTATGCAAATGCATGTAAATGCGTTACGCATTATAATTTCTATTTGTGTTAGACATTCAAATTTTTTTCTTACTGCTCTCAGTGCTTGAAAATGGCTCATAAAAGGAAAAGAAGATTAAAGAAATATGAAAATATGTCGGGTTCACAAAAGGTCTACTACGTCTAGTTAGTAGTTTGTTTGGCTGGATGGCTTTGTCTTCTCTTTAACTTGACTTGACTGCAGTGGTCTTTCTTGTTATACAACCTAAAAAGTACTTAGCCAGGGGCAACGACAAAGTATGCGACTGTGCGTTGTTTTAATTAAACTTTAGTAGTCGTCGTCGACATCTTTAAATGGTGCGGTTTTTTGAAGAAGCTGCTCTCTACACACACAGAAGAAAGCAAAAAAAAAATAAACTTACACAAAGTAAAAATAAATTAAATGACAAGTTTATAATAGCACAAAGCTTAGAAAAGAAACTTTTGTAAAAGTCATAATTTAACACAAAACTAAATAAAATTTTTAAATTGTAGACTTAAAAAAGAAGGAAAAACCCTTAAACTTGAATTGTTTAATCTTTAAAACACAGACAAATATATCAATAATGAACCTTTAATCACCTTTAAAACGAAATGCATTCCTTAAATTGATTGTCTTTTATAAATAGATTTTGCTGTTTTAGTTTTTTTTTTTTTTTTTTGCTGAAAAAAACATTTTCAGCAGAAATTTTATTTTATTTCAGTTAACTTGCAAAGAAAAAAAAAACACTTCCCTCAAGTTTGTGTGCGGCTTTGTGCAAGTGTTGGTGTTAATGATACTTCAAGGACATTTACTATTTTCTCAAGTGTGGTACTTACCCGGTGAATAGTCTCTTCGAAACTGTGCTGATGACCACCATTTAATGTTTGAAAATGTCGTAAACGTTCATTTGCCGCCTAAAAAGAGAAATGAAGAAGAAAAAAAATAAAACAAAATTAAATTTATTAAACCCACATTTTAATTTAAAAAGTAACTGACATAAAAAAAGTGTTGAGATTTATTTGCTACTTTTTTCTTATTTTCAAAAAGTTCCTGAATGTAGACTAGATTATAAACAAACTCTTTTTTAAAACAAGAAAACCAGCAAAAACCCGCTTATATTTTGATTATTATCAAACATGGTAATTTAAATGTATAAAAATAAGTAAAGGTATGTATATATGTGTGTGTGTTTTAATATTTACCTTAAACCCCCTTTTTTTATTAAGTACACTGAGACTCAAAAGAAATTAATCAAATAAGTTAAATAAAAAGGGAAATTGTATACTTTCCTTCTGTCAACCTCTTTTAAAAACAATTTCCATTTATTTATAATTTTTTTGTTGTTTCTCCTCAGTTTCTTTTGCCTTTAAAGACAATCTTTTCGTGCTTTATCACCTGTTTAAAAACACCACGTATTTGGGTACTTGTGCTTCTTTTGTTTTTTTTTTTTTTTTTAACTTTTCTTGATTTTCCTGCTGATTTTTTACCCATGTTTTTATTTATTTTCGTATCTGTTTCTTACGCTGTTCTCGGTTGAAAATGTTGTGCATCAAGATAAAACATTAACCTTTAATTAATAATGTCAAGTTTGAAGAGTTGTGCAAGATGTTTTATACGGAAAACGCTAGTAAAAGTTGTAAAGATAGAAGGGTTGTTAACGAATTCGTTTTGCACTTTTTTATTGCTTAAGAAAAGGGTTTGATTTTGAGGTTGACAATCTTTAAGATTAATTGAATGGCCTAATAAAGATTTTTAAGCACAATAGGAGACTTAGCAACATGTTGACAACGACAGAATGAAATAGGTTTAACGTTGTTAGAACTTAAATATATAAATGGATTTATTAAGAATATTAGGCACAATAGGAGACTTAGCAATGTGTTGACAAATAGAGAATGAAATATGTTTAATGTTGTTAGAACCTAAACACATAGATGGATTTATCAGGAATATTAGACACAACATGTTGGCAAATGGAGGATAAAATGGTTTAATGTTTTTAAAACCTATTTTAATCCAAAAATTTATTTGGATTTATTGTAATATTTGAAAAAGTCTTATCAACATGTTGCTGGACAAGAAAATGTGTTTATTTTATTGTTGTTGGAGACTAATAAAATTTAAAACATTTGCATTTAAAAAAAGTTATAAAAAAAGAATGTTTCCAATCTCTTAGCAACATGTTTCGAAAACTATTTTTTATTAAAGAATTTATTTCTTTGCTGTTTACAATAGTTATTGTTCAACAGTAAGTTCTGCAGCATGCTGCTAAGGAATATAGATTAATTAAAAATATATTGGGAAAAGGTGTATATGTTGCTGAAACTAAATTAACAATTAAATAAAATTGTTCTTTCTAAAAGGCAAGAAACAAACATGTTGCCAATTATATAATGCTACTCGGAAAACAATCTTTCCGCGATGTGGTGGCTTTGTGTTGTCGATGGTTCCTTGTCTTTTATTTAGATTAGCAAAAAATTATTTAGATTTAGCAGATACAACTGATATCCGCGGAAGAACTCCTGATGAGACTTCGTGATCGTACCTGCCTACCAAAATTGACCACTGAAGCACATAAGATGTTGGAGTGCTTGAAGCTCCAGAGCTGTAACATCTCAACATTACTGGTTTTCCGGAAAGAATAAGGAGTCAGTCATAAGAGCCTTACTCTCGCTTTTAATATCTGTCGAACTTGAGAGAGTGGAGTTCTTCGGGGTTACGGACGTAAAGGCGTTTTGGTCAACAAATTTAATGAGCGGTGGAGCAGCCAACTCTGTGGTCAGTGACATGAAGCTCTCAGAACTTCCTCCAAATTCATACAACGACCCAGAAAAAGGTTCAAATTATTTTAAATAATTTTTTAAAGATTTTTATTATGTTTTTAATATCTTATGTTTTAAGCATCATTGTTCTAGCAACATGTTGCGGAATAGAACAAATTACAAAAATGTATAGTTTATAGACAATTACATTTCTATTGAAAGAGCAATGTATTCAGATATAAACGCTTGTATTTATAAAAAAATCTTATTTTGCTTTTAATGCACTCAATAGTTAAAGCACACTTTAGCCTTAAAAACCATTAATAAAATTGTGACATTCATAAACAAATAATAAACGTATATTAACTATTGTGCTGATTTATGTTTAAGTTGGCAGCACTGTACAATATGGCTGTCATTTTATGTGTTAGTGTTGCGTACAATTAGGATAAAATATTCGTTGATTCGGTTTTCATAATTTCATATTTTTGTTTATAATAGATTTTTGACAATAAAAACAAACTTTTAAGAAAAATAAATATATATATATGGCTTTAATAAATGTCTATTTAGTTCAGATGTATAAATATAACATATAATTTCTAATTATTATTAAAAGTATCCGAATAACGGATATTTTGCGACAAAATATACATCACTATGACACATTTTCTTATTTTTACTTATTTTCCTTGTAATTTTTGATAAATTTTTGCAAATATTGATAAATTTCTTTGATATTTGACTAATTTTAATGCCGGCGAATATATTTTGCATTAGTATAACACTAATCAATATAATTTACATGGTTAATTACTTAATGGCATTATATTTAACCAACAAACTTTGAAAAAGCCAAATCAAATGATTTTGTCCATCATTTGGTTGACAGACGGGCATTTCCAAATTGCCTAAAAATAGTGCTGGACAATTGGAATATTGTCAAACATTCATGCATTAATCCAATAATACCTAGATTTGAGTTTTTTCCTCAAAATATAATCGTTTAAAAATTTTCTGGTATTTTATTTACAAATTTGTAAACGTTAAAATTAGAATTTTTAGATTTTATTTTAAAAGAAACCATAATTAGTTTTCGCAATCAATCTAAAATTAGCGGAAAAATCTTTATCTGAGAAAAAAATTGTTAAAAATCAACTTATTGTTGGATTAAAGAAGGGTCGAGCCTACAATAAAATTCTTCTAATTGTCAATGGTTTATTGAAGGTGTTTTAAGCTATTTCACGTTTATAAATACGATTTTCCTGAATTTTGCCTAAAATTGTTTAATAAACCTAAAATAAGTTTTTATAAATACAGCCGAAAATGTTTAATTTTATGCATAAACATTTTAAGCAACATGTTTATTTGTAGCCTAAAAATATGTTGCTGACATCATGTTTAGCTATATAGGTTTCACCTATTCTGTTCGCTGCTTTATTTTCCTAATTACAAGTGTCATATTACCTTAATATAGCACTTCTCAAGAAAAACCAGAAGTAAAAGTTTTAATGCAAAAAAAAAAAACTTAAAAGTACAAGCAACAAAAAAATATAATGTTTTCAAAAGAAAAACAATCATAAGATTTATCAAGAAAAAAGTATGTACAATTTTTACAGTCAGTTTAAGTCAGTTGTTTTTTATTTTTTTTGTTCACTACCACATAATAAACGGAAAAAATTTAATTGCTTAAGGATATGAGAGAGAGAGAAACCAAGAGGAGTAAAAGAAAATAGAAGCGGGGGGAATACAAGAAAAATTATTTATTGTAGTGATTTAATTTTTTTATATTCATTTACATTTTTTGTGCTCCAAAAAATATGGCTTTTTAAAGAGGGGTTATAAACCAAAGTTTTTCCTTTTGATTAAATTAACATTTTTTATATTATTCTAGTTTTTTTTAGCACACACATACGCATTTTTAAACACCAACACATGAATCTTTCATTTCATTTATAAGAGCACATACCCCTATAAATAAGTTAAGTTTCTACACTGTGTGTTTTTAAAGCGAGGGGAAAGCAAGTACACCAAAAAAAAGGTCATTGAGGTTATGGTCAGGGTAAGTGTATGACTAAAAGTTTGTGAAGCAGTTCTAGTAAGTGGTATTAACATTTAAAATATAGTGGAAATACGAGTATAATTTTTTTCCCCTTATAAAAAAATCATACATACTTTTCATATGTAAGAGAATTTGCAAATAGCATTATGTTGTTGTTTTTTTTATTTTATTATTTTTATTATTATTTAACATATAAGCAGCCATAACTTTAATGTTCTTTAGTTATTCTTTGAATCTTATATAAACCAGCATTAAGAAAAACGAAAGAAACAAACCACCAAGATTTTTGCTTATAATAAATAAAATAAAAAGATGCAGCAACCCCTCATCTTTTGTTATGGTTAAAAAAAAGAAACATATCCCTGGCGCCTCCTTCCCCATATTCTGCAACATTTAAATAAACATACAAGCATTACTTTATTTTCTTTTTAACTGCTGAGTGTATGTGTGTACTTTTTACCAGTTTGAGTATGTGTTACAGGATATTAAAAGCATTTTGGTTTCTTTTTATTTCTTTGGATTTTATTATTTTGCAAACCAACCCAACTCGTATGTTACAAATAAATATGAATTTTAACAAATTCTTTTTTTTTACAGAAAATTGGGTTTTTGCTTGTTTGCAAACTTAAAAAGTAAAAAATTTGCTTCCTTTTTTTGGTTAATGTTGCTTTCTTTTTGGAAGAGTTACAAGCTTCAAAGACAAATATTCCTAGAATATACATAAATATAGTAAATATTTTTGTATGGTTTTAAAGAAATTTATAAATGCCCTACATTACGAACAGTTTGTTTGGTTGTCAAACTCGTTAGATTATATTAAAAAAAAATAAAATGACTTCCACAGAAATTATTAATCTTTTAACAAATGCTGAAAGTGTAGTAGCAAAATTTTGTTAGCAACATGTTGCGACTCAAAAGTTATAAGTTGTATATAATAGAAATAAAGTTCAAACCTTTTAAATACTACTAAAATCCATTTATTGTGATTATTCACAATTAAATTGTGGCAAAGTTGAGCATTATACATATAGTTAGATGTTTCTAGCAAAATGTTGCCAACAATATTAAGCAAATAATTTTCACAAATACATATGTTTGTAGCAAATGTTATAGAATTAGATCTAATGTTGCCAGCCGTTGTCCATTTAATGAAAAAAAAATCACACTTAAATTTAACATTATACATATGTATATTTAGGTGTTTCTAGCAACATGTTGCAAACAACAAAAATCTAATAATTTTCAGAAATTCATATATTTCCAAATGTTATAGAATTAGAATCTAAGCTAGTCAGTCGTTGTCACAGAAATGTACAGGTTCTCAACTAAGAGTTTGAACGTTGCATGTGCTGATGTTTATCTAGGTCTTGACTTTCTTTAAAGAAATACAAGATGTAGATTTGAAATCGAATCGGATACTTTTTGGAACAATTCATCTCGGTGTATCTAAACGAAGGCTCTATGTAAACCAGAAGACAAGAGCCCATTAGAAAACCTTTTTAGATTGGATTTGTGTATAGGTATAACCACAGGGCACAATGAGCTTCAATATTTGCAGATGGTGCAACAAGAATACAGAGGACATTTTTTACTTCATTTAAAAATCTAATCTATGAGCGAAACAAAAGTATGATCTATAGTTAGACTCCTAAAGAGTACAATTTGATCCACAGACGAAAATACAATCTGATCTATAAGCGAGACTATAGTCTGGTTTCTAGACAAGACTACATTCTGGTCTATAGACGAGACTACGGTTTTGTCAATAGACAATACTACAGTCCGCTTTATTGACAAAACTACAGTCTGGATTATAGACAAAACTTTATTCTGGTTTATAGACGAGACTACAGTCTGTAGTCTATAGACCATATACATACATATATACGAGACTAAATGAATCGTTAGCACATAGTAAAAGTTAGCTGTAACATTATACAAAATATTAATATTTGATAACAAGCTAATAAATCTTAACACAATTTGAGTTAAATTTAAAAATTTTGATTTAATATACTATCTACTATTAAAAAATCCCTATGTTTCTCTGCCTTTAAAATGTTGACAGCAACATGTTGGGAAACTGAAATATTGCTAAGAAATCAATTACAAGCAACATATTGCAAATGTTATATTGTTTTGTTTCATTTTGTGTTTTTCTCTTATAAATCTCTTTACTATCTTGCTTTTCCTAAATAAATATACATGTTTCAAGCAACATGTTTTCAAGACTGCTTATATGTATGTATCGTTCAATATTTTATGCAACTTATTGCTAAACATTCATTAATTTAAAACTTATATATTATTGACATTAACATAGACAAATCAATCATTCAAGCAACATGTTGCCAGAAAATATTTGTTTCAGGAGCTTAAATTCTAAAATATTAGAAAATGTTTATTAAATTTAAACTTTTGTTTAAGTTATGAAGAATCTCCATTTCATATTTTGCAATAAAAAAAAAAACAACTCTAAAATACCTCTTTAGTCCTTATTTTAAGCAAAATTAGATTCATTAAAGAATTAGATTCTCAAATATTTTCAACTCTTTAAACGTCTAGCTACCAACAGTTTCAATAATCAAAGAGTTAAACTTTATGATGTCATTATAAAAGCACATGATGTCACAACTTTAAAAAAAATAATAATCAAATGTTTGATAAAATAACATAAAAATAATAAACAAAAAAGAATGTTACAAAACTTTTAACAATTTGCAAATACTGTCTTATCTTTTAAGTAATATTAAAAGAAAAAAAGAAGCACACTAAACCCGACTAAGAAACAAAAATTAAAGTCAAAGGAAATTTTAATATACAGCGGATAATGCAAAAAAAAAAACAAAATCTACGAGTATGGGTAATACAAATTTACACCCCCTTTAGCTGCTAACAGCATCCTGTATATGTCGCCAAAAAGAAAACGGAAACCTCCCTACATAAATCAAAAAAATTTAAAAAAAGAGCAGCAAAAATGGTAAGATGTATATTGTTTTTGATGTTGTTGATGCTCTTGGATGTTGCTAGACACAAGTACTTGCAAGAAGGATTTCTTTTTATTACTTTTACATTTAAAATTTAAAATGTTATAAAATAACAACACTCACACTTAGGCATATGTACATATATGTAAAAAAATGGTGCTTATATAAGTGTGTTTAGAAATATGTAAATATTTAAAATATATTTTATGATAATCGTTTTGAAGATATAGTGTTACTGTCTTTTCTGTTTTAAACATTTTTTTTTTTTTTTTTTTCATTTTGTACTTTTGCCTTTTTTTAAATAAATTGTATTGATATTTAAGTATAACTTTTTATATAATAAGAACAAAAGCACTTCCTTTTGTTGTCTCGTTACAATAATATTAATGGTAAAAGGATATATACATACGCATTTTTCTATATAGAACTAAGTATGCAAATGTTTTTTTGTTCATATGTAGAGGGGGGATAAGTATTTGTATATATTGTTATTAATATGTTAAAGTACTTACTCTCACTTGTGCTTGGGCTGTTGTTTGTTGTTGCTGGGTGCGATCTCTTCGATTTACTGTCTTCAAACCTTTTAATAAACGAGCTAAAGTTGTGCGTTTTTTAGTTTCCCGACCCTCTGTAAGAAAAAAAAAACAAATAAAACACAACAAAATAAAATGCATGAAAAAGAAAAGAAATTTTCAAATTAGCTTTATTTAGAAAACAAACACATACAAATAATATAAATGTATTAAGTTTTTATGGGTATTAGTGACATTTTTAATATAATTTAAAAGATTTTCAAAAAAAAACAACTTCAAAAAGGTTTTATTTTGTTTCGTTGTTAAGGCAGGGACCAATTCTTTCAATTTGTTATATAAAAAAAGTTCATAAGTTTGTGTTAAACATTTTGACATGTTGTTCTTTTACGTTTAAACTTCTCTCTGAGGACCTATTAATAAGTGTTGTTACACATTCTCTTTTAAAAAGGCCTCATAATTCAATTTGGGTTTTAAATAAATAGCTTTTACTCTTTTTTAATATGCGTGTTTTATAAGTTCATAAAATGAGTCTTGGTGGATTAATTATTTTGAAATATAGTTTTTAAAACAACTTTTAAAAGCTCATTATTACAAAACTTGTTTCTATGGTTTAAATTCTCATAATTTTGTTGTAAAATATTTATAATTTTAAAACTTAATTAACATAGAAAATAAAAGCATTTAGAGTACATTTTGTGCAAAAATCTTTTGACGACATGACGTATACATACTTTATATTTATTTTTAAAAATATTGATCATACGCCACCTCTACTTAATATAAAACTGAAAAAAAGGGTTCTCTTGGACTTTTCTTTTAAACAAAAAGTCATTTCTTATTAATAAAATACTATAACAAAAACAGCTTTTCATAAAAGAAGAGCTTTACAGAAAGCTTAAAAAAGTTTTTCACAGAAATAATAACTTGTTTTTCACAAGAAAGAAAGACCAAATCTTGACTAAAAAGGTTTTTCACAAGAAAGCTTTTTTACAAAAAAGCCTTTAAAAAGCTTTTCAATAAGCTTTAAAAAAGCTTTTCAATAAGCTTTAAAAAAGCTTTTCAATAAAAAGCTACAAAAAAAGCTTTAAAAAAGGTTTTTACAAACGAAGATTTAGAAAATATTTCGCAAAAAAGTTTTCTTTCATAAAGGGTTTTCTCGAGAAAGCTTCTTTACAAAAAAGGCTTAGAAAAGCTTTTCCATCAAAAAGCTTTCTTCGCAAACATAAAACGTTTTTTTACAAAAAAAGGTTTAAAAAGTTTTTTTTACAAACGAAGATTTAGAAAATATTTCGCAAAAAAGTTTTCTTTAACAAAATTTCTAATCATCAACCTCTGTATTCTGTAAATTATAACAATGACATAATTATAACAAAACTAAAGTTCTAAACATTTTTATAAACCAAAATGTTATTAAAGTAAAAAATAAAATATTAATTTGCCATTGTCCTAAAGTCCATTACACAGAGGTTATTCAAAAATGTCACTCTCTACCTTAAAAACTCAAAACTACGAAAAAATAAAAATAATCAAACAATAAAACTTTTTTGCTAAACTTACCCGTTGTGGGAGGAAATTCATAAAAATAGGCGGAACGTGGACTTAAACAACTACAAATTAAGCAGAAAAAAAGAAGTAAATTAAGTTTTTTTTTAAGAAACAAAACAAGTCTGGTTGTAAATTCTACAGCACAGTAGTTGTAGTAAATATGTAGTTGCAAGTAATGAAATATTAAGGAAAACTTCTAAAACTTACTTTTGTTGCACAAAATTTAAATGATGGGCAGCATTGGGCGGGATAGATTGTAAACCTTGTGGGTGTGTTGGCAGCGGTTGTTGTTGCTGTTGCAGCTGGTGATGTGAGACAGCACCTTGCATCATAGATAATTGTTGTTGTTGCTGCTGTTGTTGTTGGGCGAGCTGCGCCTGATGCAGCGTTTGTTGCTGGATAAAATGTTGCTGTTGCGTTAGAGCACCACGAGCAACGCGTGGTGCAAAAACACCATAACCGAAACCATAAATTTCATCTTCTTCCTTGTCCGACAGGCAACTTGAGGGCTTTTAGTTTGTTAAAGAAATGTTAAAAGAAGAAAATAAAGTCAAAAATTAGTTTTCTTTTATGAACCATAATTCATGGTCAAGTTTATAAAAAGTTTAAATGTTAACAAAGAAGATGTTTATATTTATAAAAAAAAAGCATGCAAAAGGAAAGATCTAAATCTTGTTTTTTTTCTAACCAAAGTGAGAAATTTATAGTCCTTGTTGTAGTAGCTGTTGTTGTTTTTCTTTATATACAAACACTTAACAAACAAAACGATTACACAGAGCATTGAGAAATAAAATAAGCCAAACATTCACTCACTAATACTCATGTATATTTATTCTTTATGTAGTAGACTTAACGGAAAATATGAAAAGTTCTTTCTTTTTCTGAATGAACATTTAATTTTCTGTTGATTTCCTTATGTTTTCTTTCCGTTTATTTTGTGGGTTTTTTTGTTGCTTTTTATAGTTTAAGGTTTTAAAATTCGTACTTCACTACTTCAAGTGGCTGCGGCCTTCTTTGGCTCAACACCTTGGGGAATAATAAGGGCACAATATAACATCAAAATTTCTACACACAGACACAAATACATTTAAAATTTACATAAAAACACACATATTCATGTAGTCTTACTTAGCCAAACAAAACAAATAAATGGCCAAGTTAACAATGTTGTCAAAGTTTTTTTAAGTAGCATAATTTCAAGAGACTACTTGAGGGCCACTGTTCATTCTTCAATTCAAAAGCACTAAGAATAAAATAAAATTAAAAAACATATAATGAAATACGAGGGCTACCTGAAGAGTCACGTCTTTTAAAAAAAGGGCAAAATTTATTTACTTAAGTGTACGATTAAGATTTTGAAGTAGAACTAGAACTGAACTAGAACTGAACTAGAACTGAACTAGAACTGAACTACAACTGAACTAGAACTGAACTAGAACTGAACTAGAACTGAACTAGAACTGAACTAGAACTGAACTAGAACTGAACTAGAACTGAACTAGAACTGAACTAGAACTGAACTAGAACTGAACTAGAACTGAACTAGAACTGAACTAGAACTGAACTAGAACTGAACTAGAACTGAACTAGAACTGAACTAGAACTGAACTAGAACTGAACTAGAACTGAACTAGAACTGAACTAGAACTGAACTAGAACTGAACTAGAACTGAACTAGAACTGAACTAGAACTGAACTAGAACTGAACTAGAACTGAACTAGAACTGAACTAGAACTGAACTAGAACTGAACTAGAACTGAACTAGAACTGACTAACTAGAACTGAACTAGAACTAGAACTGAACTAGAACTGACTAGAACTGAACAAGAATGAACTAGAACTGAACTAGAACTAGAACTGAACTAGACTAGAACTGACTAGAACTGAACTAGAACTTGAACTAGAACTGAACTAGAACTGAACTAGACTGAACTAGAACTGAACTAGAACTGAACTAGAACTGAACTAGAACTGAACTAGAACGGAACTAGAACTGAACTAGAACTGAACTAGAACTGAACTAGAACTGAACTAGAACTGAACTAGAACTGAACTAGAACTGAACTAGAACTGAACTAGAACACCTAGAACTGAACTAGAACTGAACTAGAACTGAACTAGAACTGAACTAGAACTGAACTAGAACTGAACTAGAACGAACTAGAACTGAACTAGCACTGAACTAGAACTGAACTAGAACTAGAACTGAACTAGAACTGAACTAGAACTGAACTAGAACTGAACTAGAACTGAACTAGAACTGAACTAGAACTGAACTAGAAACTAGAACTGAACTAGAACTGAACTAGAACTGAACTAGAACTAGAACTGAACTAGAACTGAACTAGAACTGAACTAGAACTGAACTAGAACTGAACTAGAACTGAACTAGAACTGAACTAGAACTGAACTAGAACTGAACTAGAACTGAACTAGAACTGAACTAGAACTAGAACTGAACTTAAAAAGGGGTGACTCATCAGTATAAAAGAGACTTTCCCGCTTGTAAATTCATAACTTTCACTTAACTTGATAGCTATAAAAAATGTACAACATTCCACAAAATATTATATACAATATTTTGTATTCATATTTCTCCGCTTTAAAAAGGAACTGTTCTAAAAAGAACAAGAAAGTAGCCTCAAAAAATAGTGGTTTCCTTAAGAGGCCAAAAACAAATGAAACCAAAATAACAAAACAAAACAGTTGGCCAACAGCACAAGCAGCAGCACACTGGCCTAAAATGAATTCCGTTTCAGTGGAGGTTCTTTTCTTTTTTTCCTCCATTTTACTTCAACAAATGAAATTGAAAGCGCTGCAGAAATAAAGATGTTGTTAAAAACAAAAATAAAAATACTAATAAAAAACTTTATAATAAAATCAGTCTAAAGGCCGGCAACAACTTTAAATAAAGTAAATATTAAAAAAGTATAAAAAAACAAAGAAATAAAATTAAAAAGCAACAACAGCAAATATAATAAGAAAATAAACGTATAAAAACACAACAACAAAAATGAACCATAAAAATAAAAACAACCATAGAAATTGTATTATTTAAGTTTATACTTGTACGAAATTCTCAACTCAAATGTTAATCATACGTCTAGCAGGTCATCATCTCGATTTCTTTAAGTGAGAGAGTTTGTATAGGTTTGTATAAAAATGTAAACAGACAATAAAAACAACAACAATTTGCTGTAAAACTTTTTCTCTTTTGGAGAAGAAAATTTAATTTCTTCTTAACTGGGTTTAAATTATTTTTTTATGGAAACCCAAATCCAACACTACACTCCGGCATAAGAAAACTAAAAGACCTGCCAAAAAAAGGTAACAACAATGTGAAACAACATAATTTAAACGTACAGAGAGTGTAGAAAAAAAGGGAGTTATTTGATTTGTTTTTTTGTTCGCAAAAGTTTTCCTAAGAGAAATTACTGCAGTATTTTTTGTGTATTTCTTCAAGTTGTTTTACTTTTATAATGAACAGTGGTCTTTTATAGCCTTTTGACAAATTTTAAAATCTTTTTTTTTCTTTGTATTTTCGTTGAATTTATGAAATCAAAAATTAAATTGCCAATTAAGGTATAAACACGGCATAAATAATTTAATGTTAACAAGCCAAAATAATGGAAAAAGTTAAACAGTCTTGTTGTTTCTGTTTTTTTTTATTCCTCTTAGCTGGAAAATTCCTTCAGGATTTGCAGCAAAAATAAATTAAAATTTGTCAATTTATTTAGAATTTGTGACAGAAAAATTATAAAAATGTAATTATAAATGCCGCTTAAAACTAGAACTGAACTAGAACTGAACTAGAACTGAACTAGAACTGAACTAGAACTAGAACTGAACTAGAACTGAACTAGAACTGAACTAGAACTGAACTAGAACTGAACTAGAACTTAACTAGAACTGAACTAGAACTTAACTAGAACTTAACTAGAACTTAACTAGAACTTAACTAGAACTGAACTAGAACTGAACTAGAACTGAACTAGAACTGAACTAGAACTGAACTAGAACTGAACTAGAACTAAACTAGAACTAAACTAGAACTGAACTAGAACTGAACTAGAACTGAACTAGAACTGAACTAGAACTGAACTAGAACTGAACTAGAACTGAACTAGAACTGAACTAGAACTTAACTAGAACTTAACTAGAACTGAACTAGAACTGAACTAGAACTGAACTAGAACTGAACTAGAACTGAAGTAGAACTGAACTAGAACTGAACTAGAACTTAACTAGAACTGAACTAGAACTGAACTAGAACTGAACTAGAACCGAAGTAGAACTGAATTAGAACTGAACTAGAAATGAACTAGAACTGAACTAGAACTGAACTAGAACTGAACTAGAACTGAACTAGAACTGAACTAGAACTGAACTAGAACTAGAACTAGAACTGAACTAGAACTGAACTAGACTGAACTAGAACTGAACTAGACTGAACTAGAACTGAACTAGAACTGAACTAGAACTGAACTAGAACTGAACTAAGAACTAGAACTGACTAGAACTGAACTAGAACTGAACTAGAACTGAACTAGAACTGAACTAGAACTGAACTAGAACTGAACTAGAACTGAACTAGAACTGAACTAGAACTGAACTAGAACTGAACTAGAACTGAACTAGAACTGAACTAGAACTGAACTAGAACTGAACTAGAACTGAACTAGAACTGAACTAGAACTGAACTAGAACTGAACTAGAACTGAACTGAACTAGAACTGAACTAGACTGAACTAGAACTGAACTAGAACTGAACTAGAACTGAACTAGAACTGAACTGAACTGAACTAGAACTGAACTAGAACTGAACTAGAACTGAACTAGAACTGAACTAGAACTGAACTAGAACTGAACTAGAACTGAACTAGAACTGAACTAGAACTGAACTAGAACTGAACTAGAACTGAACTAGAACTGAACTAGAACTGAACTAGAACTGAACTAGAACTGAACTAGAACTGAACTAGAACTGAACTAGAACTGAACTAGAACTGAACTAGAACTGAACTAGAACTGAACTAGAACTGAACTAGAACTGAACTAGAACTGAACTAGAACTGAACTAGAACTGAATAGAACTGAACTAGAACTGAATTAGAACTGAACTAGAACTGAACCGGAACTGAACTAGAACTGAAATATGCTATATTTACGTTTTAAATTTTCCCTTAACTTTCACCTTTTAAGGAATAAATTATTGTCTACTTTAAGTAAAAAATAAACCATGAAATTTTTTGCTACATTTTATTACCTCAAAAAAGCACTGTAATATTTTTATGTCTTATATATGGAGCTATAAACTATTTTCTTTATGCTCAAACATGAGTAGCATTTGTAAAAATGCTGATAAGTCAGTCAGAGAAAAGATAAAAGAAGACAATGTTTGTTTGATGCAAGGTTCGTTTGATTCAATTTCTTACTTTTTTCCTTTACAACAATTGTTTGTTTTTGCCAAAAAAAAGTGAATGAAATGATTATTGCCAAGTCTAGTTGTCGTTTATTCGCTCTACTTTTTTCCTCAACTGACATTATGTTTAGTTTAGTGTTGCAGTTTAAAGATTGTCATGCTGGGTTATATTCTATAGTCTTTTTTCTATCATATTTGGCAATATTATGTGCCACAAAATGTATAAAAATACTTATGATCATGTCGAATAACAACAATATTCTAAACGAGATATAAAAATGCAACAACAGCAGCAGCAACAGAAAGTATTAAATGAAAAAATGATGGAAAAAAAACTAAAAACAGAATTCAATTCGTTTTAGTAGTAAAAGTAGCAGAATGAATGCCAATTCTTTATGGTAGAAACAAGAGCTTTTTCATCTTTTTTCTGCTATTGTCTTATTGCAAGTATAAATGTATTTGTTAACAAATTTGTGGTTGATACAATTTTTACTTGATTTTTTTTTTCTATTTGTTGCAAGTTTTTCTTCAATTTAGTGTTTTTTTATTTTTTTTTTTATTGTTGAGTCAAGTTGTGTGCAAGTACGAAAAACAATTTGCTTGTTTTATATTAAAACATATAAAAACCAAACTAAAGATGTACAAAAATATAAAATGATGCCGAAAAAAAACACAACGTTGTAAATAAGACAGACATATAGAGAAACCAAGCATATAGGGATACAAATGTTAAGGTTGCAACAACAAGCACATATACATAAAATAAATCCAACTAATACAACATCCAAAAGACTCATACGTTTATAGTTTGCGAGGTTAAATTGAAAAGTTGAAGCAAAAAATCTGAGATGATCGTGAGATTAGTCCGTACTATGGTCTGTAAAAAGTTCATTTCAAATGTTTCTAGTGATCTTAGGCACAAAGTTTTGAAGACTCAATTCTATAAAGTACTAGAAGCATTATGCTGAAATGTTTAAGGAATACTCGTTTCTTTGTTGTTCTTAAAAACTTGTTAACCTGCCTGTCTATTCTTAAATTCCACCTAAACTTTTGAAGGCAACTTACTCCAATAAACTCAAAATTTATATACATTCATATTTACTTTATATTTGTATGCATGTGTATATGGATATTTATAGACGGTAGAAAATATTCCTTCTTATTATGCACACAAACAAACACACATGAACGGACGGACAGACAAATATACCACTAACAACATGCATACATAAGAATAAATCCCCAAAGGGCATGTCAACACTACACATTTGTTCATCGGCTGAATAAAACAGAAAAAAAAATAATAAAAAAAACAGTAAGAATAACTTATTTCTGTTGTTAGAGTTTTCTTGTTTTTTGTTCATATACTTTCTGACTGTAGTTATTTTCAGTTTTTTTCTGTTCAGTTTCAAGGGAATTGCGAAAAACAACAACAAAATTATTGTAAATAAAATAGGGAAAAAAAATCTAGAAGAAAAAGTTCAGTTGCCATAACCAAAGAATGAAAAAATAAACGCAAATACCAGCGAATAAACCATATTTTCTATTTTGCCAAAAACAAATTTTTATTTCATAAAGCACCACAATATAGGAAATACAGTGATGGAGATTTAAATAAAAGCAGATTTAAATTTTTTTTATTAAAAAGTTTTTGAAAGAATTTTAGGAAATTGAAAAAGTAATGACTTTAAAAGACTTTTATGTTATTAAAAGGTTTTTTATTAAATAAAACGGACATTTAGTTTAGGCTTTCGCTGTAATTTTAGGGTATTTTTTAAATGAAATTAGTGTCCTCCGGTAGGTAAGTGGTTAGAGTTCTAGTCTGTTAGAGCGGAGGTGTTGGGATCGATTCCTACCTGAGGCACTGGATAAGGCCCCATAAAGGCATAGGTATATTTCTTCGGATCCTAACTAACTAACTAACTAACTAACTAACTAACTAACTAACTAACTAACTAACTAACTAACTACTACTAACTAACTAACTAACTAACTAACTAACTAACTAACTAACTAACTAACTAACTAACTAACTAACTAACTAACTAACTAACTAACTAACTAACTAACTAACTAACTAACTAACTAACTAACTAACTACTAACTAACTAACTAACTAACTACTAACTAACTAACTAACTAACTAACTAACTAACTAACTAACTAACTAACTAACTAACTAACTAACTAACTAACTAACTAACTAACTAACTAACTAACTAACTAACTAACTAACTAACTACTAACTAACTAACTAACTAACTAACTAACTAACTAACTAACTAACTAACTAACTAACTAACTAACTAACTACTAACTAACTAACTAACTAACTAACTAACTAACTAACTAACTAACTAACTAACTAACTAACTAACTAACTAACTAACTAACTAACTAACTAACTAACTAACTAACTAACTACTAACTAACTACTAACTAACTAACTAACTAACTAACTAACTAACTAACTAACTAACTAACTACTAACTAACTAACTAACTAACTAACTAACTAACTAACTAACTAACTAACTAACTACTAACTAACTAACTAACTAACTAACTAACTAACTAACTAACTACTAACTAACTAACTAACTAACTAACTAACTAACTAACTAACTAACTAACTAACTAACTAACTAACTAACTAAGAAAAATTGAAATTGAAAAAAAAAATTTATATAAAAATTTTATAGAAAAATTTTAAAAATTCTTCTTTTAAGATTAATTTTTTTTTAATTTTTTTTAGAAGAAAATTTAAAAAAATATATATATAATTTTTAGAAAATTTTCGAAAAAACACTTCGGATTTAGAAAACTTATTTTGTTTTTTTAGAAAATTTTCCTTTCCATAAAAATCTTAAAAGTTCACTACATATGTATTTTATAAAATTTTTAAAAAATATTTTTTATAGAAAATTATTAAAAATTCTCAATTTTAGAAAAAATTTAAAAATTCTCTTTTTTATAGAAAATAAAAAAAAAAATTCAGGAAAAACTTAAAAAATTCTGTTTTTTTGTAAGAAAAAATTTAAAAAAGATTGTTTTTTTTTGGGAAACTTTCAAAAAAAATCATTTTATTCAGAAATTTTTATTTTTATTTAAAATTCTCTTTTTAATAGAAAATTTTTGAAGAAATTTACTTTTCTTTAGAAAATATAAAAAATCTCTTTTTTTTAAAGAAACTTAAGAAAAAATTCTTTATTTAGAAAATTTTTGACAATAATACAATATTCCATAAAAATAATATTTTTATAAAAGTAGATAATAAGAACTTTTTATTCAAAGAAATTGAAATAAAATTTACTTGGTTATTGAAAACCCTGAACCTAGAAAAATGTATAAATTAGAGCTCATTATAAAACTATAAATAAATTCAATTAAAAAAAAACATGTATTAGTAGTTAATTAAAGAAAAAACATGCATAAAAAAAGCTTATAAAATAAAATGCCTTTATTTAAAAAACTTCAAGTGTTGTTAAACACAAAAGAAAATATGGTTAAAAGAATGTTCAAATGTATAAGTAAAGGAATGTTTGTAGTTTATATGTATGTGTATATGAACGCGTGTTACAAATATTAGTACAGAGGGGGAGTTTTGTTTGATTATACAATATTTGCCAAAGTGAAACCACATTTACACATATCTGTCTTAAAACACATACAAACATATACACAGACTAACAGGCAAACAGACAGACAAACAGTTTGAATTTGTGTTTTATTTTCTAGCTATTTTTATTTATTTTTTTTTTTTTTCGTTTTGTTTTGTAGTTCAGAGTTTTTGTTTTGGTGGTTTTGTTGTATGATGTATGTTTATTCTAACACTTAATCAAAACCGTCACCACCTTTAGCATCATAAACCCACAATGGCAACAGTAACGGCAACAAAAACAACAAGAACAACTTCAAAATGAAAATGACGGCAGCAACAAAGCCATAACAATAACGTCTTGTTTATGGCTAAATGGTTGTTGCTGTAAGTTTTTCCTTTCTACATACTATATGTACATATGTATGTATGTAGTTTTGTTGCTATTTTGTAGGTGTGTGTTTGTGTGAATTAAAGTGTTTATTGAATTTTCGCTTCATCTTTTTTTCCACAAATAGTTGTTGTTCTCTTTTTTTTAAGGCCCCCAAAAGCAACAAAAATGTTACTGAAAAAATTTAAACAGAAAAATAGAATACTAGTAAAATAAAAAGCAAGCAACATCAAACCAAAAACAAACAAAAAAACATTGAAAAACCAAGCAAGCAGCTGTTGTTAAACCAGACCATTCCATTTCACTTAACTCTACTCTTAACCTTAGAATCTTTGGGTGTGTGTGAGAGTGTAATAGTGTGTTGGTGTATTTTTTACTATTTCCAAATACATACCGAATATTTTCCTGGCACATATATGGGTTGACTATGACTATTGGGCAAATGGCCGCCATGTGTGGAACTGCCACGATGACCGTGTAGTCGTTGTGTAGCAATGCCACTGACACCACTGCCACTACCGCTGCTGCCACTGCCACCGGCGGGATTCATAGGGCTACGTTCAGCCCAGGCTGCTTGTCTAGCATTTTCTAAAGCACTTAAAATATCTCCAAAGGGAGCCATTAACAATTCACAATAAACGGATGCTAGACCTTCTAAATGACCACGTTGTCCATCCTAAAAAAAGCCATAAAAAATCAAATCAACAACAAACAAACAAAAAAAACAGAAACACGAAAAAAATTAAAAATTTAGGGAGAGTTAAGAGAGTCATAAGAAAAATGAGTAAAATAAATAGTTCTTCCAAAAGAAAACAAAAAAATTAAATAAAACGTTTCTTAAACAAAAATACTCCTTTTGTCATTTTCATTTACTGAGCTAGTTGATGGCAACAAGGAGTATAAGTGAGTGATGAGTAGTAGATGGTGGATGGATGGTTGGTTATTTGGAATGGTTGGCGGATGATGATTACAGGGTTACATGTAAGAGCCCTGATAAACATGTTTTTTCGTTTAGCTACAAACTATAATACTTTTACTATTTTCTAAAAAAATAAGTAAACAAATACATAAACAACATTAGCTGTCTGTGTGAGAGAGAAAGAGTATGAGTGAGTGATGTGGTCATATATACACTCATCATAAGGATGCAGGTTTTGGAATAGTTGTTTGGTATGGTTGGTTGGATGTTCGGTTGTTGGTATGAATGAAATGAAATGGTTGTAATGTGATATTATTTATGCGATGAATTGTGATGTGATGCGATTTGATGTGATGTGATGTTTTTTGTTGTGTGCTTTTTACTTTAAGCTTTTTTTGGGTGAAGTTATGCAGAAATTTTACAGTGTTGGTGAAAGATGATGTGAATTTTTATATAAATAATTTTTTAAAATAATAAATTTTATACTATAATACAATTTTTACTAAATGTTCTAAAAATCAAAAAGTTTTTAAGTAATACAAACCCAATTCTAGATTTATAGTAAATTTGATCTCGTTAAAAAAAAAAATATTAAAAAAAAATCTTTCTTTTGGATATATTTTTATATTTCCAACAAATTCACGTTTTTATAAAATTAAAAAAAAATTCAGAATATTTTTAAAAAATTTTCTGTTTTCGTGTAGAAAAATATTATACTTTTTTTAAAAATTTACAATTTTTTATAAAAACATTTCTCACTATAAAAGGAAAGAAATTCTCCAAGATTTATTGTGAAAGAAGCTTTTGTAAGTATTTTTGCGAAAAAGCTTTACAAAGTCTTTTGGTATAAATTCTTTTCAAAGATTTTTGATATGGTTTTTAAAGAAAAACCTTTCAAAGGTTCTTAAGGAAAAGCTTTTCAAAATAATTTGATAAATATATTTTTGCTATAGAAACATTTCACTATATAAAAGGACAGAAATACTGCAAAATTTTTTGTGAAAAAGCTTTTCAAAGCTTTTTGATAGAAAAGCTTTTCAAAGCTTTTTGATAAGAAAATTTTTCAAAGCTTTTTGATAGAAAAGCGTTTCAATGCTTTTTTGTAGAAAAACTTTTCAAATCTTTATATAGAAAAGCTTCATTTTAAGAAAATTTGATATTTTTTAACAGAAATTTTTATTTAATTTTATGCCCAAGCTATCGACTCCCACTGTACCTCAAACGATAAATGAAAATAAAGAAAAATACTTAATATATCTTCTGGTTATTTGATGAGGAAAAATGACTTTTTACACACAACAACAGCAACGACAACAACAACATTAGACAACAGCAAAAAAGAAGAAAAATTAAGAGTTACCTTCTCTAGCAAAACACACAAAACGGAACAGCATAACAACCAAACATCAAATGAAATGACCTGTGTTTAGACAAACACAGCAGCAGCAGCAGGACTAAAAGGACCATAACATAAAATAGGATGAATCTATATGATTAGCTAACTAGCTAACTAACGAAGCGGATACAACTAGAATCTATGTACACAACCTATAAAACACAATTCAGAAAAAAACTAAAACTAAACAAAGATTAAAGGATACAAAATATACATTAACCAGAGTGACTAAAAGGGAGTGACAACAACAGTTATAAAAGCTAGAGGAAAAAAAATACGAAGAAAAGTGGCTCACGTTGTGATGTTGATGTTGAGGTAAAGATATATGATGTGGTCAATGTTAATGTATAAGAGAGTAAGTGTAAACAATATTTATACTCCAAAAAATACATGAGGCAGGCTGGCTGGCAGGTAAATGTAAATTAGTTCATTCACATACTGTTACAACAACATAATTTACTTCAACATCCTAAATTCTAGTCGAATAGTTTAGTTTATTTTGCCATTATTTTTATGTTTTCTTTTTTTTTTTTTTTTTTGTTTCCACTTTTCAGACATCAGTTTAGGTTACAGTTTTCAAATTGGATTTGAATCCATCTTAATTCAGAGATCTACATAAATGTGTGTTTAAGTTAAGGTATTGAATGTATAAATGTAATGTAAATGAATGTACAATTTTGGGGTATTTGCTAAATGATATGATAGTATTTTTATGAGGTTGATTATATGCCTTGTGGTTAGTCAGCACACTTTTAACATTACACACACACACACAGACACACCAGCATTTAAGTGTGATAGGCTTAGAAATTGTACCTTGTGTAATTGAACTTTTGTACCTTTTATGCCTTAAACACAAAAATATTTTGATGATTTTGTTTATTTTGAGAACAATCTGATTTTTTTATGATTAAGATGAGAAGAATCAGAGGATTTTTAAGTACTTTTTCTACAAATAAATGTATTTTACAGCTTTTGTTGATATAAAAAAAGTTTTTCTGAAGTCTTTACGGAAAAAGCTCTTTTTGGTTTTTATTAAGAAAAAAGCTTTTTAAGAGGAAAATAGTTTAAGCTTTAAGCTTTATTTGGGAAAAAAACTTCAGTTGCAAGATTTTTAGATTTAGTTTTTTAATAAATGTAAAAAAAACTTAGACAGCTTTTTTAATTTTTTTCAAATCCTGCCAAATAAACTGAAAAACTTGACTTTTTAGTACTTTTTTGCAATAGAAGAAAATTACATATTCAGCAAGAAATTGTTTTTTTTTTTACATCAGTACTAAATACCAAATATAAGAAGAAGTAGGTACTTTTACATCTAATCAAAAGTAAATACATGATTAATTGATGACAACTTAATTTTTGCAGTTTTCAGGTCGGTTGATTTGTGTTACTTAATGTGTTTACATTCATTTGGTTCATGAGACGTTCTATAAAAGGCATCATAAAATTCAACACTTACATAGATACCGAGTAGGTACTTTAGTTGTAAATCATTTCATATGAATGTATGCTGCACTCATATACCAGCAATTTTTAAAGGAGTCAATGTAAAGCTTTTCCAAGATTTTTGTGATAAAAGCTTTTTCAAGCTTTTTTTGTAATTAAAGTCTTTCCAAGCTATTTGTGATAAAAGTTTTTCCAAGCTTTTTGTGGTAAAAGCTTTTCCAACCTTTTTGTGATAAAAGCTTTTCCAAGCTTTTTGTGGTAAAAGCTTTTCCAACATTTTTGTGATAAAAGCTTTTCCAAGGTTTTTGTGATAAAAGCTTTTCCAAGCTTTTTTTGTAATTAAAGCATTTCCAAGCTTTTTGTGATAAAAGCTTTTCCAAGCTTTTTTTGTAATTAAAGCCTTTCTAAGCTTTTTGTGATAAAGCCTTTCCAAGCTTTTGCGATACAAGATTTTCCAAGCTTTTTGTGATTAAAATTTTCCTAAGCTTTTTGTGATAAAAGCTTTCCTAAACTTTTTGTAAATGAAAGCTTTTCAAAGCTTTTTTGTAAAAAATGTTTTTTAAGTTATTTTGTAAAAAAGCTTTTTAAGTTCTATTGAGAAATTGTACTAATGTTTATTTATAGTGATATAAGTTTTTCCAAGCTTTTCAAAGCTTTTTGTAAAAAAGCTTTTTTAAGCTTTATTGTGAAATTGTACTAATGTTTACTTATAGTCTGTATAGGGTCAATTAATTTCTTTCTAGTAGTCATATTAAAAACTACCGGGTTATGTTTGTGCTTATATTTGTTGTTTATTCTAGTAACTGTGTATGTTTGTATACAATATTTAGTTTATGTATACTTGGCCTAAAAAAAGAAGAGGAGCAAAAGCAAAAAACGAAAAAAAACTATGGTATAAAAAAATAATTTGGAACAGTTTGCATAAAATGTACAAAAACAAAATAAACTGTAATGCGTTCTAGTTGTACAAACATTTAGAAATTCTTTTAATGATATCTGTACACTAGCATATGTACATTTAAACACACATACAAATTCCTTTTTTTAATATTAAATATGTTTTCAAGGAGAAAACTAAACTAAAATGTTTTTTTTTTTCTTCTTCCTACTTGAATTGGTTTATTTTTTTTAATAAACTTAATCAAGAGAGTGTTTGTAGAAATTTGCACAACACTTGTTTTATTATTTTATTTTTAAATTATTATATTTTGTAAATAACATAAAATGCAAATATATATGAATGTACTTTGCAATGTGTATAAATATTTTGGCTTGTAACACTTTTGGAAATTTTTTTAAAATTCCATAACTTCTATTCAAATAAAAATGTAAAGCTTTTGATAACATAACCTATTTAAGCATAACATTATATATGAACTCATTCCCATAATGCTTTACGTCATTATTATTTAAAGTTTTGTTAAATTTAATAATTTTTTGCTTCAAAAACTAAACCACTCTATTCCCTCGAGTAAATGAGTCATTAATTTCAATTCCCTTTTAGACTCGGCTAATTAATAAATCTCCTAATCTAAACCAAACAGTACTAATAATAACAATTATTAAATTGTTTAATTAAATTACTAATTGCCATTGATTTTTTTTGATTATGTCCACAAAAAGTAGGCGTTATACAAAAACGCCTTTACTAACCCGCATTTAGCTTTCATTTCTCAATTAATATTACCAGTGTTAGAATAAACAAATTTATGGAAATGTACATTTAATTCAATTATTATAAAAACAAAATCAAAACAAAACAAATTTACTTAAATAAAGTACAATTACATCAGTATTGGTTAATATACAATAATAACAAATACTCTTGCCCTCTAATTTTTTCAATACACACGACTAAACATGAGCTAAAACCAAGTGGCCATGTTAATGATTGTCGTTGTAAACAAATTGAGCC